TGCCAACACTCTGCTACCAGTGCCAGCTTTGGACATGATCAAAGGCTGACTTGGGTAAAATTAACAACTGTGAAATGACATGATTAAGAAAAGAGTTAGAAATGATATCAGACAGATAGTAGGAACAACAGACAAATCACTGAGAAACAGAGGATTGAATAGTTTGGTCTTCTACTAAAATGCAAGCAAAACCAGTACACAGAAGTGAACGAACAACCCGAACTTTCCGCTGGAGTTTTCAACCAGTGGAAGCAAAGGAAAAAAAGACAAAGAAACAGATGTGGTTATTGCTTTGAAGCCAAGAAATTTTCTTATTGACATGCCGCTTAATTTAGTGGGTTCTCCCCCCCCCCCCCCCCAACCTCCTAGTATATGTCAGAATGTCTTAGCCAAAGCTCTAACCAGTAGAATTTTAATTTTTGTTTTAATTTATCTAACTGTCCCAGTCGACAAAGCCTTAAATAGGCACCAGAGAATTTCATGGGAAGTAAAAGTAGCTGGCTTGATTTTCCCTATATGACCCTTCCAGTAAAGGTTGGCCTATAAAAAAATAGTACCGACGTTCTTCAATGATGCATTTAAGAATGTCTTAATGTGATTATTGTCTGTTTTGCTTATTGTTTCCAACTTTGCAAAACCCCGCATCTCAAAAGCCTCCACTTGATCTTTATTGTGTTATTTGCTAAGAATAGTAAAAGTAAAGCACCCTTTTCCACGCCTTCATACGTATTGGGCACACAGGGCTAGAGTTATATGTGCATAGGCCAAATGGCATTTTGTGGGTGATGTGGTCAGCATCCCACCGCCCGCCTTTACTTCCCGGGACTGAACCTGACACCAATTTAAAAAATGTAAAAAAAAAAAAAAAGTATGGCCCACGTCAGGACCCGCAACCCACCACCCTCCGATCCACAGGCGCGCATCTAGCTCTATTTGTTAAGTATTTTCTATTGTATTCTTACTTTAAAATAACACAGTGGCATACAGGACAGGTTGAAGTATGACAATTCTTAACAAAGTGTTTCATTGCAAGATGACCATCTTAAAAACGCTGATTTATTCTAAATATCTTGGTCTTTCTACTCATAAACCGTAGTATAAAGAACAATCCCCATAGCACCAACAACAATCTCTAGGAAATTTCGGAGGCAGAGGCACTCGTAAGCAATACGAAATTCAACCCAGTAGACCAGTGGTTGTCAGCCTTCCAAATCCTGCGACCCTTTAATACAGTTCCTCATGTTGTGGCGACCCCCTAACCATAAAATTATTGTAGTTGCTACTTCATAATTTCAGTGAACATGTGTTTTCCGATGGTCTTTGGTGACACTTGTGAAAGGGTCGTTGGACCCACAAAAGGTTCGCGACCCACAGGTTGATAACTGCTGCACTAGACTGACGTCAAAGAATTTAACCCCTTCATGACCCCCTCTTCCTTTCCCCAGCCCAACTTCTTTGCTAGAAATGCACACATTATGATAATCTATATTACCTGGTCGGCTCTGTGGCTAAATCGATGCGAACGCTTCGTAATGCCGGGGTGCTGGGTTTGACCCCAGCTGCGGGCAACGCACCTTGCGTTGATTTCGACAGTGGTATCATGGGGCCGACCTTTCAGATGCAATGGCAAACTACTGGAATAAATTTGCCTAGAGAAACCACACAACAGCCAGGGGCTGCTGGGGTTGGTTTTGCAACGTCCTGTAAACGATACGCAACTAAAAAAATAATTAAAAATGATTACCTGATGAGAAAAGTCTCCATCTTGTAACTGACCATTATTTGAGCTGTTGATCTTGTCCAAGTCGTCTACATCAGGGTATGGAATCTCCAAGGTTGAAATATCATCACTTATTTTTACTTTCTTCGACATTGTTATTGATATTCCACGGTATGTTCGACTTGTCTTAGTGAAAGAACTAATCGATATATATTATACAAATAATATTATCCTTCAGAACTCAGAATTGCTTGTGACTAAGTTACTAAAATTGATTTGTATACTTTATAAAAAAGTTTTTTTTTAAACCCTTCTATACATTGTAAGTTTTTGTGGAGATTGATTTAATAATGAGCCCCGGTAAATCAGTATTCCTTGTTATCTCTCTACTTACAGTAAAGAATTTGGAGTCGACCGGTTTTCTATCTTCTTATTTATTTTCTTATTTGGTCTGGTTATCCTCTGTTGTGTTGCCACCAGCCCAGACCCCGGACGACAGTCTGGCCTCTTTTGTATGCGATGTTGCTTTTATAAACATATGCGATGTTTATTGCTTCTGATTTCAAGTGATTCTTTTGAGCCACTCGAAAACGTCTGGAACCAAAATGGCATTGCTGAAACAGCTACGCCAGTGATGTCAGTTGCATACCTTTAGTAATTATAATTTTATTGATAACGGTTTAATTGAATGTATTGACATTTAATTTGTATATTGGCAGGTGATCAAATCAGTTGAGGGAAGTAGGCCGAGTGTCTCTACTTGGGCCTTCGTCATCATAATTATAATCCGTGTGCTAAAGGTGCCGGGTTCAAATTCCCGGTAAGGGTTGGGATTTTTTTCACGGGGACTTGGACTTATAGTAATTACCCCTGGTCTCTGGGGTTTGAGATCGGACGCCCGGGTGTATTGTAAAAAATCCCTTGGGAGTTGGAAATCGAAAAAAGTAGCCTAACGGCGCTGCCCGGGCAAAATTTTTAGTTAAAAATCTATCCAAAGTATTTCAGGATCCTCGCCGGTGCTACGGCTTGTGCACAGTGCTGAGCTTCCTCGGGCTCAGACTTGAGTTGGAAGAAGAACGGAGCTCTTATGGGTTACTACCAGTGTGCCATGATGTTCAAACCTCAAAACCTCAAACCTCTTTTTTTTTTAATTTTGATATTACCATTACCTGTGTCGTGCCATTATTCAAGCTGTGTCCCATTTCATTACTTTCTACCACGACCTTGTCTATCAGTCCCTGTAGTTCTTTCTGATTGTTCCACGTATGCCATGAATGTTGATCAGTTGTTCAAACCTCAAACCTCAAGCACTATCTGGAAAGATGGAAATATGTCAATACACGAGGTTTCCTAAGTTTGTTAGTCGACAGATTATTCTTACTGCACATATAACAAACCCTTTAGTCGCTAACTGTTCGTATTCCTTACTTAGTAAATCCCGTTACGTGTAGCGGCTAGCGTCACCAGTTGTCTGTTGGTTTCTTATTCTTCTTTGGTTTCCTGCAGTGCTCTTGTCTAATCACACCCTTGTAACATGTTGTTTTTGAAGTATGATCATTGTTGCAGATATACAGTCATCTCTTGGTTCTCACAAACGTCTTACTTCTCGTAGAGTATTCAGAATATCAGCATGATCCATGGCTCGTCTGCCCTGTACAGTTGCTTTACCTGCGAGACGATCAGCTTGCTCATTTCCTTGCACGACTGCGTGCCCTGGCACACATATAAAACTGATATGTGTCAGCCCCGGCCGCTTTAGAGACTTCATCCACACTGTCTTCGGATCCAACCCTTCTCTGTCTTCTTGAGGATATTCATTGAGTCACTTATTTAGCTAAAAAAAAAAAAAAAGCACAGTTATGATAAGGAACTTGTCAAAGTAGCAACAAAGAATTGCGTAATGGAACAAAAGCTTGAGATACTTGAAATTAGTAAACATAATACGATGTATTGCGTTTTTAATGAACGTGTATTGAGTTCTTGGGTAAAAGACCCTTTCCACGCCTTCACGTGTATAGGGCATACAGGATTAAACCTATATTTTGTAGAACAATCTGCACTCAGTAACAGAAAGCCACATCCGTCTCTCGTCAGTTCATCGACGAGGCTGACATTGAAAGATACTATTAGTCATGTGTGTAAATAAATTAGTTAAATTAGTTCTACATCCGGGAACAATGCCAGAGATACGAATCAAGTCGCAGTATGTTCAAGGTTACAGCTGTCAGACATACGCATTAGCCAAATTAGTACCAACATCGTTATTATCAACGTCATTGTAATCGTCATCCTCCTTGTGTGCTTTATATACTTCACATGGCGCTCGCAGTCTGTTGATTTCCCAACGTTCTCTGTTCTGGCAATGTTTTTCGATATCTTTGTGTTGGATCCAGTCGAGCAGCTCAAGTTATATACACTATACACTACACGATGGGGTGGTTCGATTCTTTATTAATATCCTACCCCCAGATGACGTCACAGAACAGTCCAACGACCCTAAAACATCTAGAACTGGCCCTAACCCCAGCCCACCTACGTCCCACAAGAGAGTACAGCCTAGGTCCCACGACTGCTTGCAGCCTATCTATCACCCCCTGAAATATTAGACTGTCCCGTGACCTGTGAATTTTCTCTGTTTGGGATAGGATATTAAAAGACCGGTGGTTCAATTTCTTAAAACTTCCTAATTTCTATCACCGTCATCCCTATCCTTAACAAAAGCAGTAATAATAATAATAATAATATTAACAATAATAATAAAAATAAATAAATAAATAAATAAATAATTCTTGTGTAGAAGGCGACTAATTAGGCATTAACTTAAAAAAATATGTGTTGATCTGAGATGCAGATATCGCAGCTTCGATGTCTTCTATTTCTTTCGTTGGCTTGAAATAAATTGTTTGCATCTGCAGTGTTGTTACACGGATATACGTATTATTGTCTTTCTTTTCACTGGGAGACAAAGTGTCTCTTGGGGATCTAGTGATGGGGTGGGGCTGAGGGGAGAAGGGTGGGGGAAGTGGAGGGGGCCTAAAGTTGCTATACTGTTTAAAAAGCTATTGAAAGGGACATACATACTTACAATTTTGACATTCTGCATCTTTGTAATGCAAAAAGTGAAATTACTCAAATGTCACACAAGAATACCACAGGAGGGCTCCACCAGTCAACTGACACATTAAAAAAAAAAATCTCGGTCAGTATAATTTTTAGGAGTACGGCCGTGCTCGTTAGCATGTGGGCTCCTCTTTCGTAAATCAGTGACTGGTATCTCTGGGCATGAATATGATCTGATGTTTGACGTGTGCCTGTGAGATGGCTGCCAACTCTTCCTAGAGTGCCTTTGGCTGGAGCAACGTTTCGGTGACAAACACGTCTCCGTCTTCGTCTCATTCCACAGGTGTTCAATCGGACTCATGTCTGCAGATAGGGATGGCTAGGGAAGGTTTTTTTTTTTTTTACGTATCCAGAAGCCATGAGTTGTAAACCCTTTGGCTCGGTACTATGGATATCGCAACCCTTCGGCCTTGATTCCATTATAGGTACCGTTAATCTGGGAGAAATGTGGCTTTTCTGCCTACCCCCGGGAGTGAACCCGGACCACAAGGAATTCGTCACCCGGCCGCCGCGAAAGTCAGGTTTAACCAACTACGCTAGAGAGCCGGGCAAGGGAAGGGTTTAAAAGTTATTAGCAGACAGGAACTGCGTGGTCAACCGTGCAAACTAGGGTCTGGCTTTGTCCTTTTGTAAATGATATCTGTTGGCATCCTAAAATAGAAGGACATGTGGTCGAAGAATTTTAAGGACGTATCGTTACGCATTCAAGCTTCTTTTAGTGTGCAATAATAGACTATCCATTGTAACTAAATATTACCCACATCATTACACCTCAACAACCGTGCATCAGGGATTAGTCAACACATTTTTTAGCTACACCTTTATTTCGCCTACCGTAGACCCTACGCCGTCTATCAAGACGCTGCAACAAAAAGAAAGGTGAATCAGACACGTCTCCACTGATTGTCACCTGCCCAGGGACGAAGGTTGGTTGCCCACAAAGGTCGATTTCGGCAGTGGCGATGCGTAAGGACACGTCCTCTGTGTGGTCGTTGTGCCCAAAGTCCAACGTCATGCAGTCCGTTCCGAACAGTTTGATAAGACATATGACGTCCTGGAGGCAATGCTTGAAAAAAGGGGGGAGGGGGGCTTAAGTGGTTTCTTTCGCCTCGAGTGCTGGAGGTCCCGAATTCAAGTCCCGATAAAAGCTTAGATTGTTTCACGTTGACTTCTAGTAATTTGCCCCTAGTCTCTGGGTAGTAAGATCGGAAGCCTATGCATATTGTTGTGAACGTAAAAAATACTTTGGCGGTTGGACATCGAAAATAGTAGCCTAATGGCGCTGCCCGGTTTAAAATCCACCTAAAGTATTTTCAGGATCCTCGCCTGTGCTACGTAGTTCGTGCACTACGCTAAGAACCTTCGGACTCAGGCTTGAGTTAGATTTAGAACGGATCATTTATGGGCGGAGCACTTATGGGTTACTACCCTAATGCATGTTGCTCCGGTGTTAAAACCTATACCAAGGCAATGCCTGCGCAGTTGAAGACGCCGTTGTAAACCTGTCTCTGAGGTGACGAAGCCGAATAAAGCGATTCTCTGCTGCTGGTGTCACTCCACTGCGTTTTCGGTCTTCAGCTGAACCAGTGGTTGCAACCGGTGCCAAAGTTGACTGATGGTACTTTGATACAAGATTAGATGCTTGGCACTCTGACTTTGGCCTACAAATGGCCAATGCAATATTCCTTAAATGTATCGATAGAGAAACCATTCGTGACTGCTGGAAAGCTCAACCGAAGGAATGGAAGAGACGCAGACGAACACAACCGAACGTTTCGGCCAAAGTCTAAACAGGGGAATCTCCATCTCTAGCAGACTGGAGCAGTGACCTAGCGGTATTGTGTATACTGTATTTCATTTGTCATTGTATTTTTGTTAACTTGTATTCCAAATCCTCGAGTAGTCATTACTGTTATTTTTACCAGTCATCCCCTTGTGGTATGCACATTTTCGTTATTTTGAAGTCCCACTCTGGCTCTTGCCAGTGGCCGCTACATGGTTAGTTGCGTATGTTTTACAGGACGTTGCAGAACCAACCTCAACAGCCCCTGACTTTTGTATGGTTTTTCTAGGCAAATTAATGTCCTGTAGTTTGCCATTGCTTTCTGGACGATCGGCTTTCTTGATACCACTGTCGAAACCATCGCAAGGCGCATGGCCCGCAGCTGGAATGGAATCGAACCCGGCATCCCGGCATTACGAAGCGTTCGCATCGACTTAGCCAGAGAGCCGAAGCTGCTATATAGCCCGGCCATAAATATGGTCTAATGGTTAAACGCGGTTTCTGAGACCTCCCCACGGGTGATCCTCATCCACATGGTGGCACTTTGTATCATCGGGTGTTTATCGCTTGTGTGATAGCGTAGTGGGTTAAATATACTACTTCTAATCCTCGAGTAGGCTATCTGTTTATTTCTATTCTCTTCGAAACCTATGTATTTTATTATTTATAATTCCATTAAATGCCACCTAGGCTTGTTTTTTCTGCATACCCAGTAGATTCAATATTATGTGTTTCTAATTGCTTGTTTATTGTCAAAGTCATTTCTGTTCTTGCGTGCATGTGTGTGTGTGTGTGTGTGTGTGTGTGTGTGTATAAAAAAGTAAAGTAAAGGTCCCCTTTTCACACCTTTAGGCGTATAGGGTAGATAGGGTTAGACCTACGTTTTTATAGACCAAGATGGGTGATGTCCTGAAAAGAAGCATTGTTTGAGACGTTGTGACCCGGTGTTTGGCTTTTCCCAGTGGCTTTACAGAACTGCAACCAAGAAGCAACAGGGCACCAGCGCAGCGATCAGCAAGAGGTAAACCGAGCACCAGCAACAATTAGCCAAAACCCACGGACATCATCACTAAGAGAACTGGACCAGACCAGACCCAAAAAAAAAAAAAAAAACACCACAAGCACCACCCCGCAGCAAGGAAGCAAAGAACCGGAATATCAGGTGTGACTACACACTGCAAAAAAAAAAAAAAAAAAAAAACAGGAAATCAAATAAGATAGCCAAGGAACCTTCCTTCGTATAGCAGGCCTCCGGGCGGCTAAAAAAAAAAGGGATCAAATTTGGAATTTTTGTTGGATAACTGGAATTGGAATTTGAAGATGAGTGATGTGGTCAGCATCACGCCGATATATATATATATATATGGACAATAAATATAAGTATAAAAATATGGTTCTCAATTTTTATGTTTGCATTTTCGCGCGCGCACGCACACACACAGACGCACACATGCGCACACACACTCACACACAATAGGCGTAGGCGTACAAAAAGCATGTTGTAATTTTTTTTAATTGAATATTAATGTATGTGGACAATTTATATACACAAAAAAGTCATATTTATCTCAATCCATTATAATGAACAAGCATTTTAAAATTGTCTGGTGCCGCCATGATGTAGTTGCTAGACGCCAAGCTACGGGTCTGAAAGTCGTGGGTTGAAAATCCACAATGAGTGGGCATTTTTTTTTAGAAATGACTTGGTTCGCAGGTCGACATAGCCTAAATGTGTACTAGGTAAAGTTCTGGGAAGTAAATGCGACCGGTGTGACGTTGATCAGTTCAGTTACAGAGTGTCGAATATATAATATATATATATATATATATATATATATATATATATATATATATATATATATATATATATATATATATATATATATAATTAATAAAGGTCTTTACTATATATGTATATGTGTAGATATATATATATACACACACACAAATATATATATATATATATATCCATTATACCTGAGGAAATTGAAGGGATCTCTGCATTATTTTTACAATAGCAGTCATGGAAGCAAATGTACTGTTGATTAATAACAGTTGATATGATACTGAACCCCTCGCCCAGAGAGGGATCTATGGAATTATAACATTTTATACCCTAGAGGCATCAATCAGTAAAAAGCAAGGGCAAATACTTTACATGCCCTATACTTCAACCAATGGGAAAAGTCCAGATGTGTCACCAAACAACAAATTATGCTTAATCATGTAACGAGGTAGAGTGGGTGGTGTTTCTCTTCTAGTTTGTAGGATTAACATGTCAATTACTTCTAAGCAGAGAAGATGAGCTGCTTGGTCTCAGGGCATGGTGTCCGCCTCGAGTGGTAGAGGTTCTGGGTTCAATCCCCGGTAAGGGCTGGGATTTTTTCTCGTGGACGTCTAGTAATTCTCCCTGGTCACTGGGTGGTGAAATCAGACGCACTTGCGTATAGTTGCGCACGCAAGAAAAATCCCTTCGCAGTTGGAAATCGAACAGTGTAGCCTAACGGCGCTACACGGGCAAAATTTGGAGTTTAAAATCTACCCAAAGTATTTCGGGATCCTCGCCGATGCTACAGAGCCTGTGCACTGTGCTAAGTTTATTTGGACTCAAAATTCAGTTAGAATAAGAACAGATTACTTTTTCGTTACTACCCGAGTGCCATGATGTAGAACCGTTGTTCAAACCTCAGACCTAAAGCAGATAAGTCGAAAGGATGTTATTGCAGCACTTCTTCTGTCAGAAACACAACTCCAGCCACATATGTAAGACAACATCTAAACAGGAGCGGCTGCCGCATGAGCTAAAAATTTAAATTTTTTGACTTTGGATTCAACAAAAATATTGCTTTCCCAATTTGCTTTTGTTTCTACGTTTGGTTAGCTGTCAGAATTGTTGCAAAACCATTTACACTGGGCCGCGGTCTTCATCTACACTACTGGTACAGGATTGGCTACAAATTGATGTCCTGTACTCTATCTACAGTACTGGTTGTACAAGATTGGATACAAATTGATGTCCTGTGCTCTATCTACACTACTAGTTGTACAAGATTGGCTACAAATTGATGTCCTTTGCTCTATCTACAATACTGGTTGTACAAGATTGGCTACAAATGGATGTCCTGTGCTCTATCTACAGTACTGGTTGTACAAGATTGGCCACAAATGGATGTCCTATACTCTATCTACAATACTGGTTGTACAAGATTGGCTACAAATGGATGTCCTGTGCTCTATCTACAGTACTGGTTGTACAAGATTGGCTACAAATTGATGTCCTGTGCTCTATCTACAGTACTGGTTGTACAAGATTGGCCACAAATGGATGTCCTGTGCTCTATCTACAGTACTGGTTGTACAAGATTGGCCACAAATGTATGTCCTGTGCTCTATCTACAGTACTGGTTGTACAAGATTGGCTACAAATGGATGTCTTGTGCTCTATCTACAGTACTGGTTGTACAAAGATTAGCCACAAATGGATGTCCCTGGACATTATCTCTCTATATTCTTCTTCATGGTCTGCCTCGTGGTCTACGACTATTCATCTCCCGTGTGTATACAACCTTTAACTTTACCTCCTAATATCATTTTTATAAGTACATTTCGAACAGCACTCTAAAGTTTGGTAGTTTCGTTGTGGCTGGTACGTCTACTGTCCTCCCTCCGTTGTTCCAGATTCCCGTCTACATCATCCCGCGTCTGGTCAGTGAAGGTCTGCGGGTTTTCATCGTCTTTCTTCTTTGTTTTTCGTTTGATTTGTCTGTCTTCATACTTGAACAAAGAGAGCATCATTAACGAAGTGATCTGGGCTGAACCGTGCAGCACAATATCAACTCCTGACATTAGATACCTGGATTCAGAAAGAAAGAAGAATAACAGTTAATTGTATCAGTGAATATGAGTCGATGCGGCTGAGCTCTATACCCTCGCCTGCGGATCGGAAGGTCGTGGGTTTGCTCCCTGGCGGAGCCGGACTTTTGTTTCTGTCAAAAATGACCTTTGCTCCAAGGTTGACCCAGCCTTGAGTGGGTACCGGGTGCAGTCATGGGAAGTTAAGGCGGCCGTAGTGACACTGACCACATCACCTATTTTGTGCCGATTGGTCTATAAAATGTAGATCTAGCCTTGTATGCCCTATACGCCTAATGGCGTGGAAAAGAGTCCTTTACTTTTTCTTTTAAAACTTTTATTAGTGAATAATGAAGGAGAAGAAGCTGGACGAATGGTTGAAAGCGCAGTGCTCCCATGGGTAACATGTCTGTCGGGGTCAAAATTAAAATCCTAACCATACAATCCGTAGCTTAACGTACTAGCACTGGCCTGAATCCACAGACTCAGATGCAAAACTGACAAACACAAAAACAACTTAACACACAGATCGCCCGGCTCGCTAGCTCAGTTGGTTAAACCTGACTGCTCGGCGACAGGTGACGAACTCCTTGTGGTCCGGGTTTACGCCCGGGGTAGGCAGAGATGCAGATTTACTGTATCTTTCATGGAAACAAGGCCAAAAGGTAGTAACGAGCCAAATGGTTAACAATTCATGGTTTCTGGATATTTAAAAAAAAACTACACACACACACACATACACACAAATACACACACACACCCACACATTCCCACTTACGAAACCTACGCAAGGCGCATGGCGCGCAGCTGGGATCGAACCCGGCACCCCGGCATTACAAAGCGTTTGCATCGACTTAGCCACAGAGCCGAAATACCAAGAAAAAGAAATATAACACCAGAGAAATTCTTCAACACCATATATTCATGGTTCAGGTGACTAGAGGAAGAATAACCTAAACTTTAACTCTCTCTCGATAAATGAAACGATAAATGACGAAGTGAAAAAGAAGAATTAAAGAAGAAGAGCATGAGGAAGGGGAGAAGAAAGAGAAGACGAAGAAGAAGAAGAAGAAGAAGAAGAAGAAGAAGAAGAAGAAGAAGAAGAAGAAGAAGAAGAAGAAGAAGAAGAAGAAGAAGAAGAAGAAGAAAGAAGGGGGAGAAGAAGAAGAAGAAGAAGAAGAAGAAGAAGAAGAAAGAAAAAGAAGAAGAAGAAGAAGAAGAAGAAGAAGAAAAAGAAGAAGAAAGAAAAAGAAGAAGAAGAAGAAAGAAAAAGAAGAAGAAGAAGAAAGAAAAAGAAGAAGAAGAAGAAGAAGAAGAAAGAAAAAGAAGAAGAAGAAAAAGAAGAAGAAGAAGAAGAAGAAGAAGAAGAAGAAGAAGAAGAAGAAGAAGAAGAAGAAAAGAAAAGGAGAAGAAGAAGGAAAAGGAGAAGAAGAAATAGAAGAAGAAGAAGAAGAAGAAGAAGAAGAAGAAGAAGAAGAAGAAGAAGAAGAAGAAGAAGAAGAAGAAGAAGAAGAAGAAGAAGAAGAAGAAGAAGAAGAAGAAGAAGAAGAAGAAGAAGAAGAAGAAGAAGAAAAAGAAGAAGAAGAAGAAGAAGAAGAAGAAGAAGAAGAAGAAGAAGAAGAAGAAGAAGAAGAAGAAGAAGAAGAAGAAGAAGAAGAAGAAGAAAAAGAAAAAAGAAAAGAAGAAGAAGAAGAAGGAGGAGGAGGAGAAAAAGAAGAAGGAGAAGAAGAAGAAGAAGAAGAAGAAGAAGAAGAAGAAGAAGAAGAAGAAGAAGAAGAAGAAGAAGAAGAAGAAGAAGAAGAAGAAGAAGAAGAAGAAGAAGAAGAAGAAGAAAAAGAAGAAGAAGAACAAGAAGAAGAACAAGAACAAAAAGAAGAAGAAGAAGAAGACGAAAAAGAAGAAGGAGAAGAAGAAAAGAGGAAAACGCAGATAAAGGAAAAGTAGGGTATGAATGTGGGGAAAAAAGGGATGGGGGAAGAAGAAGGAAAAGCATTAAAGAAGAAAAAACAGATGAAGAATAAGGATATGGGTGGGTGGAGGAGGAGGAGGAGGGGGTGGGGGGAGGAAGGGAGGGCGCGAAGTAGAAGAAGAAAAAATTTGGGAAAAACCCAGAACATAAAAATAAATCTGACTACCTGATGATTGTCCTGTCGTATAAGGCACAATACTCTCCCTCTGAGACGTAGCAAGCATTGTCCACTATTCGCCCGAACAAGTTTGGAACCGGAATTGCCACTGAAAACATAATGAAAACAAATAAGTAACAACAAATCACAAATGTTGTATAAATATAATGCCAAAGAATAGTCTTTACTTTCAGTAGCTGCTCTACATATAGAAGTAAAGGGCTCTTTTTGCTCTGGTATTGAAAGCACATGAGGCCGGAAAGCTGGCTAGAGAAAGGGGAACTTTCACGCATACCGTGAAGAGAGCGACGTTCTGTAAAAGACTTGCTGATTGATGACGATAAATACCGAGAGCAGCAATTACGTAGGGCAGTGATTTTCAAACTGTGCGCCGCCGCGCCACGGGGAGCCGCTACCTCTTCACAAAGGCGCCGCGAAATATGGTAAAAGCTTCATAATTAATGTAACCAAGACATTTAGCCTAACTAAACAAAAACGTGAGAAGAGTCCGGATGGGTCACCAAAAAACTAATTATGTTTAATCATGTAACGGGTGGGTGGTGTTTCGGTTCTTTTGTAATATCCTACCCCCAGATGACGTCACAGGACAGTCGAACATTTTAGAGGATGGTAAGACTGTATTTTCCGGCTTTCTAATACTTTTAAAAGTAAAGTCAAGGACCATTTTCCACTCTTTTCGGCTATAGAGCATACAGGGCTAGACCTATATTTTTATAGACCAATCGGCACAAGATGGGTGATGTGGTCAGCATCACGCCGGCCGCCTTTACTTCCCGGAACTGAACCCGGTACCCAATCTTAGCCGGGTCGACCTAGGAGCCAAGGTCATTTTTGAAAATAGTCCGGCTCCGCCAGGGAGCCAACCCACGACCTTCCGATCCGCGGCGAGCGTCTAGCCGCTCGGCCACGGGGACTCCCTTCTAATACTTTTAATTACGCTCAAACATCTAGAACTGGCACTAACCCCAACCCAACTACTTAAATATATAAATAAAGTCGTTATACAGAGACGGCATCACCTACCCCCCACACCCTCCCAATCCGACTCATAAAAACGTTTTCTGGCGAGAAGGGCTGAAGGTACCTGAGCACCCAAAATAAAAATGATAACAAACGGTGCAGAAATCTCACTTACATATGTTAAAAAAGAAAATATAGATGCACATGGACAAAGCTCTGTCTCTTGGCTCTACAGTTCTGTGGAGTAAAAAAAAGTAACAACTGTTACCATAATTTTCTTTATCATCAGTTCGTCATCATTATCATCACGTATCTTGCTAATTAACATGAGCGATTATGTTTCTCCATTTTAGAAGAGCTCAGACTGTATATATAAGTTTTTGTGGTACACGTTTCAGTGTCTGTTCACAAGGCGTCAAAAATCTTCTTGTGTTCTCCCCACCCCTCTTTCTCTTTCGCTCTCTCTCTCTCTGTCTCTCTCTCTCTCTGTCTCTCTCTCTCTCTCTCTCTCTCTCTCTCTTTCTCTCTCTCACTCTCTCTCTTTGAATTCAGTTATCACAATTGGATCCAGTTTTTTTCTTCTCCAAGAGTAACCAACAGATGGTGAATGCTCTTCCTGATGTTAGTGACACGTTGTCTTCGGGTCTAAGCCTCATTAAAAACCATACGGAGTACATTCTAAAGACGATATAAACTTCGAATTCTCCTACTCTTCCTTCATTTACTTCGTCAAACGGTTGTATGACGCTTCTGTGTGTGCTGTCCAATGTATTGTATACGTTGGTCTTCATTTCCTTAATGCTGTTCTTGATGTCATTGTTCCATCTGCTGCGTGGTCGTCCCTTCTCAGGTACGTGGTTATTATTTTGGTTATTACTGAATTTTCAATGATTATATGTGGTGATACTAGAGGCACTGGGATTTCTGTATTTCCGTGGAAGGGATTCATGCTTATATTTCATTTTTTGTTGATGGGACTCTTTAAAAAAAACATTGACAAGATGCAGTGAAAATTCCTAGGCGCAAAAGTATGAGCGCTAAGAAACGGATTTTAAACAGCAGATTCATACTAACACTGTGCTACCAGTGCCACACTTAGACATTTTCAAAGTCTTACTTTTATAAAATGAACACCTGTGAAATGAGATGCCCGAGACAAGCCGCTAACTTAACTATCAGACACAAAATTAGAAAAAAATATTATCATACAGACTGTGCGAACAAGACAATGCAGCAAATTCATCGAGAAACATAAGATCGAATATTTTGGTGATCTAGCAAGATTACATTGAGAAAAGGTCTAGGTTAGTTGCGTATCCTTTTCTGGACGTTACAGAACCAACCCCAGCAGCCCCTGGCTGTTGTGTGGTTTTACTAGGCAAATTTACGTCCAGTAGTTTGTCATTGCTTTTTTAGACGGTCGTGCCCATGATACCACTGTCGAAACCAACGTAAGGCGCCTGGCCGGCAGCTGGGATCGAACCCAACACCCCCGACATTACAAGGCGTTCGCATCGACTTAGCCACAGAGCTGACAGCGAGAACAAACTACACATAAAACGATTCTAAGTGACAGCAAGAGGTCGTACTAGGAGAACATGGACTGATGACATTAAAGAGCTTCTACATCGACACAGAATGACAATACTCATTGCTGCCCATCAAAGAATGGATCGAAAACTGTTCCTCCACACGACGCTGTAATGGCAGAAGTGGACATTGATGATGATGTGTAAAATAAAGATCCCTTTTCACGCCTTAGGCGTATCGATCATTTGAGAAAAGCACCCATATTTTTACAGACCAATCGGCACTAGGTGGGTAATGTGGTTACGCCGGCCGTCTTTACTTTCCCAGGACATCCAAAATGGTACCAACTTTAGGCTGGGTCGATCTGCGACAATACTTACCAGACTAAAAATCCCAGCAGCCAGCAGTGGGTTTCGATCACAGTACGCTGGAATTACGAGACGGACTAGCAACGCCTAAGCCACGGACGCCTCGATAATGACGAGGATAATGAATAAATTATGTAATCTATTGTATTTGTGCGCATTATTTAAATATACTGCAATGACAAACATCTGAATACCTGATGACCAACAGCCTGTATGGGATAGCGCACAAAGCGGTAACGAAATTCTGAAGGCCGTGGACAAAGACGTAGATGAGGAAGTTGCGGTCACAGTCGGTAGCGCATATCCCTGAGGTTAGAGTTTTGTCTCCGGTGTGGTTGGCTAGTAGACTGCAGTTTATAAACAACTGAAAGTAAATACACAGGCTTTAACTCTTTCAGTCCTACGCAATTAGGTGAAGTCTGAGAAAAGGTTAGTTGCGTATCCTTTACAGGACGTTGCAGAACCAACCATAGCAGACCCTGGCTGTTGTGTGGTTTCTCTAGGCAAATTTACGTCCAGTAGTTTGCCATTGCCCCTGGACGGTCGGCCCCCTGATACCACTGTCGAAACCAACGCAAGGCGCATGGCCCGCAGCTGGGATCGAACCCGGCACCCCGACATTACGAAGCGTTCGCATCGACTTAGCCACAGAGCCAACGAAGTCTGAGAACGGGAATCATACCTTCAAACTCATGGATGCTCTATGTGTATGTTCGTCAAAATTTAATTCTTGTGGTGTTTGTGTAGTGTGTGTGTAAAGGGGTGAGGGGAGGGGGTGTCTTCATAGCAAAGCAGTCACACTGTTTCCCTCGCGTCTTGAAGGTCGAGAGCTCGTGTTACGGCTGCATCATTCGGTTCACTTGTGCTTTTTTTCAAAGATAAAACTGGGGATCGTCAATGGAGCTACGGTGTCCCCGCTCTGTATCCTACTTTCTGCAAGCGGTCAGTCTGCGGAGAGGGACTGAGCCATGTGGGATAAAACCTTGTTCCAATCAAGTCGATTCTCTCACTTTAACATGTAACATGTCAGTAACCAAAAACACAATACAGTGATTCACTTAACGTTAAATGTATGCAGTTACACATCCAAGACACTCGTGCCTGTAAGCAAGTGATTGGGGGCCGCGTTAGCGCAGTCGATAAGAAGCTCGCTTTCAAATCCAGCTGCGACTCGCTGCAGCAACAGTCGGAGTTCAAAACCGGGCGGTTCCCAGAGTTCACACAGACTCTAGGAAATGGGTACCAGCGGTGACACTCTGGGGTAAATTGAGGAACGTCGCTGTAGCTACAAAGTTACCTGCGAACGGCGACACAGGCGGCAATTCTTATCAGCTGTCCGTATTGATGGCAAAGCACTTATTGTGCAATGACGTGTGCAATGACGTATGCAATGACGCTGGTTCACATCTCTTTACCTTTAGCAAGCGTAAATCCACTGTGACACCACAGCAGCCCATTGCAACCGTCATGCTCATCCAAATCCCATCCGGCTAATGTCACTTTAGAACAAAACAATATGGTGGACATGCACCTTTACTTTTTAAGAAGTGACCTGTTTTTGCTTCTGACATATGTTATTCACTGAATTTTCCTCCGTGTGTAGACTGAAAGGTAATCGTTCCGTCTCTTGCATACTGAGTTGAGTGCACGGCTCGAATGGAATTCTTTTCCAGTGTTCCCAACCTTGAATTGTTATGAACTGAAGATTAAACTCTGTTGGCAGAAAACTGAAAGTGCCTTGGGGGATTAATTGCCTGTGCAACTACTGATCTGCTGTAACTGCTGTTTTCATATGTGATAAACAGCATTTTTAGTGTCGGACTGTTTGTTTTGACACTTCTGAAGGCTGCCTTATGCGTTAAATGCGTGCATATGCTATTTATTTGCCGAGACTGCAGTCTGTGTCTTTAAAAAAATATTTTTTTACGAGGAACGGTGATGGATATTTTGTGTGGTTTTCGTTGGCACAGAAGCGGAACAACTATGGATTGGTCCGTTTGGTAGGAAGTTGAAACTATGATTTACCCTGTGCGGTTTCCGGGGCCCTATTATAGGGAAGACAAGAATAGACCCACTGCCTACCCAAAAGCATATCGTAAGAGTCGACTAATTGGGAGCTTCCTTCAAAGTTCAAAGTCGGAGTGCATCTGCCTGAGAGGCAAGGAACCAACAGTCTGCACACACATTTTCAGGTCTGTCAAAGGGATGCACACGCAACACTTAGGTTCTGGAACAGGACTGCAGTCCAGAATTGGACGAACAACCGGAACTTTTCCCCAGAGTTAACATCCTGTGAACGCAAAGAAGAAGAAGAAACTATGATTACCAGATTATCTGATATCTTTCGGTAGAGGCGCGTTTGATATCAGATAAATAATCATGTTTCATAAAGTTGACGATTTCAAATTTACTGTATAAAATGTCAACAAAATTAGCAATAATGGTCAATGAGGTGAATAATCAGTTCATAATCTATCAGTAAATCAACCTATTACTACCGCAATGACGGTTTGTCATCACATAAGGTTGTACACCACAATGAAGATTTGTCACCACAACAAAGGTTGCCTGCAACAATAAAGGTTTGTCACCATAATCCAGGTTGCGTACCACAATGAAGGTTGGTCACCAGAATTAAGTCTGGTTACCACTATGAAGGTTGCGTCCCACAATGAAAGCTGTCACCACAAAAAAGGTTACGTTTCTCAGTGAAGGTTTGTCACCACAATAATTGTTGCGTCCCACAATAACGGTTTGTCACCAGAATAAATGTTGCGTCCGACAATGTAAGTTTGTCAAAAGAATTGAGCCTGATTACCACAATGGAGGTATGTTACCACAATGGAGGTATGTTACCACACTGGGGGTATGTTACCACAATGGGGGTATGTTACCACAATGGGTGTATGTTACCACAATGGAGGTATGTTACCACAATGGGGGTATGTTACCACAATGGAGGTATATTACCACAATGGGGGTATGTTACCACAATGGGGGTATGTTACCACAATGAAAGTATGTTACCACAATGGGGGTATGTTTCCAAAATGGGGGTATGCTACCACAATGGAGGAATGTTACCACAATGGAGGTATGTTAACTCAGTGGAGGTATGTTACCACAATGGAGGTATGTTACCACAATGGGGGTATGTTACCACAATGGGGAAATGTTACCACAATGGGGGTATGTTACCACAATGGAGGTATGTTACCACAATGGGGATATGTTACCACAATGGAGGTATGTTACCACAATGGGAGTATGTTACCACAATGGGGGTATGTTACCACAATGGAGGTATGTTACCACAATGGGGGTATGTTACCACAATGAAAGTATTTTACCAAAATGGAGGTATGTTACCTCAATGGGGGTATGTTACCACAATGAAAATATGTTACTACAATGGGGGTATGTTACCACAATGGGGGTATGCTACCACAATGGAGGAATGTTACCACAATGGATTTATGTGAACTCAATGGAGGTATGTTACCACAAAGGAGGTATGTTACCACAATGGGGGTATGTTACCACAATGGGGGTATGTTACCACAATGGAGGTATGTTACCACAATGGGGGTATGTTACCACAAATAAAGGTATGTTACCAAATGGAGGTATGTTACCACAAAGGAGGTATGTTACCACAGTAGAGGTATGTTACCACAATGGAGGTGAGGTATGTTACCACAATGGAGGTATGTTAGCCCAATGGAGGTATTTTTCCACAAAGAGTGTGTTACGAAAACTGTCTAATTTGCACGTAAATTAGCGGCAGTTGTGATCGTATATTAGCAGTAAAAGCAATGGCAATAGTAAGATGATACTAGAGATTCGACTGTAGCAAATAACGCTAAAGACTGACACTAGTAGAAGTAGCAGCAACAGAAACACTAACAGCAGTAGTAATAGTAGTGTAGTCGTAGGTGTAGTATAAGTAGTTGAAGGCCTAGTAAAGTAAAGTAAAGGACATTTTTTCTATGCCTCCAGGCGTATATTGCATATAGGGCTAGACCTATATTTTATAGAAGAAAGCACACTAGCAATAATACAAATAGTTGTAGATTAGTTATGGCAATGGTAGTTATGCAAATATTAGAAAAAAGCTACTAGCATTAATAGCAGTAGTAGCAGTAGCTAACACTTATAGTTGTTGAAACAACAGGAGTATATTAGTAGTAGTAGCAGCGTCTGTAATCATAGCGGTAGCGTTAGTGAAAGTAGTAGTACTAGCAGCAGTAGCAGCAGCAGTAGCAGCAGTAACATCAGCGCTAGTTATATTGGGTGGTAGTACTGTATTAGTAGAAGTTGCAGCAGTAGGAGTAGCAGCAACAGCAGTAGTAGCAGCTGCCGTATCAGCGCCAATACCTGAATAACTAGTTTTATATGTTGATGTTGTTATTGCTGTTGTTGTTGTGCTGCTGATGTCTATGGCAGTAAAATATGATAATGGATATCTGACTGCAACAACTCACGTTCCCAACAACATCTGCACAGCCAGCATAACAGGGAGAGAAGTAGTTGTTGCCGTCTGCTCCACACGAAAGGAGCTGGGTCACGTTCTCACAGTTACACAAGCCACTCGTGTTGACAGGAATTCCGCTAGTTGGAGAGTTACAATAGAGTGCAGGGATGGGTTATATTAGAGAAAAATATATGACTTAATTACAGTTAAATTAGTTGCGTATCCCTTACAGGACGTTGCAGAACCAATCCCAGCAATTCGTTTTTTTCTGGCTTTTGTTGATTTTCTGGGCAAATTTTATGTTCAATAATTTGCTATTGTTCACTGAACGGTCAGCTCTTATTACTACTGTCGAAACCAGAGCAAGACAAATCGTCCGCAGCTGGGATTGAACCCGGCAACCCGGCAATACGAAGAACTTTGACAACGCCTACAGCGCAGACTAATCAGGGCGGAAGCAATTAATTTTTATAAAGGATAGGGATTCGATTATTTTAGAGTAAAAAGACTGAGATCAAATAGAATAGAGGGATAGAACAGGATCAGAGTAATAGTGGAATAACAAATTATAGCACAAATAAAGAGAATTAGATTGGAAGGAGCAGGAAAGAGTAGGAGGAATGACGAGTAGAACGAATTATAAAGAGAAGTAGAAATTGGAAATCGCAGTGGAAAGAATGAGCATCATCATCATCATCATCATCATCATCATAAACCACTTTTGCCGTTATGCGAGGAGGAATAATTTGCGATCCAGTGCACGTTGGCTGCCACTGGCTGTTGTCATGCCGTGAAAGCGAAGAATGTCTTTAATGTTGTCGATCCATGTTTTCGCGGCCGTCCTCTTGCTCTTGTGGCTGATCTTCTGAGATGTAGTGCATGTGATGGTATTTGATCTTGGGGCATTCTAACAAGATGGCCAAACCACTTGATCTGCTGTTTCTCAATGAATCTGGTACAAGGTGTCGTTCCCACAATTTGTCTGATAGTTTCATTATTCGCTCGATCTCGGATGGTTAGGTTGGCTGCTTTTCTCAGGCACCTCAACTCGCTGGTGGTGATCAACTATCTTTTATATATATATATATATATATATATATATATATATATATATATATATATATATATATATGAAAAGATAGTGTAGAAAATAATCAGAAATTAGAGTAGAAACAATTAAAAATTACAGCAGAAGGAATAGGAAATTAATGTATGGTGGTGGGTGTAGCAGTAGCGGTTATTGAGTTGTTTTAGTAGCAGTGGTGGTTGTGGTAGTAACAGCAGTAGTAGAAGTAGTTATAATAGTAATACTATTATAAGCATTAGTGGTTGTTGTAGAAATAACTACAGCAGTATAAACAGCAATCTCACCATGTAAGGGACCATGTTCAAGGTTTTGGTGCGTCAAACATTCAGTTCTAAACCTGTAATTGTGTTACAGAAATCGGCACTCAGTGGAGATTTGGGCAACAGCACGCTTGTAACTTTTACTTACTAAGACTTTGACTGGTAAACATTTTTAGCTCAATCAACTTAATAGCCAAGGATAGAAGAAGTCTTGAAAAAAGGGACTCAAGAAGAGAACTGATTTCCCCCATCAAAAAGTGACAATCTACATTCTTTGGTCATCTGATAAGAAGGAGAAAACTTAAGTACATCGTGACAGTAGAAAAGTTGAAGGGAAGGAGCGACAGTGAAAGACCGAGAGAAGATATGCTGGACTGTTTGACTAAATAGCATGGGGGATCATCTGTATTGGAGTTGACTGAAAGTACACGAGACAAAAGGCTGTGGATAGACATGACTACCAACGCCACACGGCAGGGACTTTAAGAAAAAGAAGCCAAATTCAGTTTTTAGAAAAAAAGCACGGATACAGATTTGAACCTAAGATCTTCGTGAAGCATAGCGAGCGTCTATCGGCCGCGGTTCCTTAAATCCCAAGATGAGACAGACCACCAGTAAAGCAGGAGGAGTGTCTGCTTACATCTCGCCAGAGGCTCCATAGACCGGCTGGTTATCACAGCCGAAGACCAGATACAGCGGCGTCATCAACGTGGCTATGAAGTAGGAGCAGAAGATGGAGAGCACGTAGCCGGTCTTGGTGGTAATGCGGCTGCACAGCCAAGAGCTGAGTATTGTACCTGCAGCGTTGGCAACAGCGTTGGATACTCCTGTTTCCCAGAAAAACATATCAAATTTAATAGTTATTTGTAATGTCATTCATTTACCAATTCTTTCACTTATTCATCGTCATCAAAGTTTTTCTTTTCTTATCAAGACTGAAATGGTTGCGGTCCTTACTACAAACTGCCCTCCCCCCCCCCCTTCCCCAAATAAAAATAATATCAGTACTCATAACACAGCTATTACAGTAGCTGTGAAAAAAATTCCACTTATGCCATAAAGCGTTGTGGGGAGGCACAGTTTGCGATCCATTGTTTGGTAGGCAGCAATGGCTGTTGTTATTCCATGTCGATGTAGGAGCTCTTTAATGTCATCCATCTAGACTCCCAGAGTGGCCAGTTGCTTTACTTGCTTTAGATTTTTTCATGCCCAGCGTCTGTGTTGGTAGTTGTTCTGGCTGCGTTCTTACTAACAGACCAAACCATTTGATCTTTTGTTTCTCAGTGAACTTGCTGCATGGTGTTGTTCCTACAGTCTGTCTGATATCATTTCTAAGTTTGTCTCAAACAGTTAAGTTGGTGGATTTTCACGGGCATCTTATTCCAAAATTGTTAATTTTACATTTAAAAAAAATTTTGGTGCAAAATTTAAAAAAAGAATGCTGCTGATACTGAGTATGCTGATGAAACTGTCACGAGAGCCAGAAATCAAAAAGAACTACAGGCACTGATAGAAAAGTTGGTATTTGAAAGTAATAAATAGGCCTCAGCCTTAATAATAGGAAGAAAAAAAAGGTTACAAGTTTTGAGGTTATGAACAAGGGATCAACATCATGGCACACAGGTAGTAACTCATGAGTGCTCCGTTCTTCTTCCAACTTAAGTCTGAGCCCGAAGAAGCTCAGCACAGTGCACAGGCTCTGTAGCACCGGCGAAGGTCCTGAAATACTTTAAGTGGATTTTTAACTCTAATTTTGCCTCAGGGCGCCGTTAGGCTACTCTTTTCGATTTCCATCTGCCCAGGGATTCTTTACGTGCGCAACAATGCACACGGGAGTCCGATCTCACTACCCAGACATCTGGGGGAATTACTAGAAGTGCAATCCATGTGAAAAAATGCCAGCCACAAATGGCGATCGAACCCGACACCTCTAGCACTCGAGGCAGACACCATGCCTCGAGACCACGCATAACCCTAGCAAAAAATCAGAAAGAGCTACCAGGACCGATGTATAAGGATGTTGTAGAAAGTAATTAAATGGGACTTAGCTTGAATAATGAGAAGGCAGAAGTAATGGTACTATCAATAAGAGAAGATAGTACCCAAATGAAAAACAAGTAAAAGACATTATTTCAAGACAAGTACAGAGAATTGAGTATCTAGACACGTAAAACATTCAGCGGGAGGTGTAACACAATGACAAAGAATAGAATAGGCTAAAACTGTGTTTAAAAAAATAATGTAGATTATAAGTCACTGGAGCTTAGACAGAAGAATTCACACATGTGGAACCAATTTTAACATATAACTATAAATCCTGAACACCTAATAAACAAGCAAAGCAATTTCCTGAGACCTGAGAGATGTGATTTTACAGAAGAATCCTTAGAATTATGTGAAATGCCAAAAAGAGCAACACAGATGTTTTGAAAGAGACGCAGGTGAGGATCACATATTGTGGAGAGGCATGAGAGCCCTCATCACACGATCATCATAATCATCATTATCACCAACTCCTGCATTACTATCTTCATTAAACGAAGAAACGTGAACATCTCAATGAAAGAGTCCACTTTTCCAACAAGATCTGAAATAAAGGATAGGCAGCGTGACAAGCAGGAGAGCTTACACAAAAAAGCTATATGGGCGCGCTCGATTGTAGTAGAAGTAACAATTGAAGTAGCAGTAGTGATAGCAGTAGTAGCAGATGTAGCAATAGTAGTAGTTGCAGCAGTAATAAAATAGTAGCTGAAGTTACAGTAACTGTAAACAGTAGTAGTAGTAACTATAGCAATCATAGAAGCAGTAGTAACAACAGTAGCAATATAAATAGTAGCAGCAGTGATTGTAGTAGTAGCAGAATTAGTAATAGTAGTGTAGTAATTTAAGCAATATTAGAAGTAGCAGTAGCAATAATAGAAGTAGTAATTTAAGCAATAGTAGAAGTAGCAGTAGCAATAATAGAAGTAGTAGTTTAAGCAGCAGTAGTAGTGGCAGTAGCAATAATAGAAGTAGTAGTTTAAGCAGCAGTAGTAGTGGCAGTAGCAATAATGGAAGTAGTAGTTTAAGCAGCAGTAGTAGTGGCAGTAGCAATAATGGAAGTAGTAGTTTAAGCAGCAGTAGTAGTGGCAGTAGCAATAATGGAAGTAGTAGTTTAAGCAGCAGTAGTAGTGGCAGTAGCAATAATAGAAGTAGTAGTTTAAGCAGCAGTAGTAGTGGCAGTAGCATTAATAGAAGTAGTAGTTTAAGCAGCAGTAGTAGTGGCAGTAGCAATAATGGAAGTAGTAGTTTAAGCAGCAGTAGTAGTGGCAGTAGCAATAATGGAAGTAGTAGTTTAAGCAGCAGTAGTAGTGGCAGTAGCCATAATGGAAGTAGTAGTTTAAGCAGCAGTAGTAGTGGCAGTAGCAATAATGGAAGTAGTAGTTTAAGCAGCAGTAGTAGTGGCAGTAGCAATAATGGAAGTAGTAGTTTAAGCAGCAGTAGTAGTGACAGTAGCAATAATAGAAGTAGTAGTTAAAGCAGCAGTAGTAGTGGCAGTAGCAATAATGGAAGTAGTAGTTAAAGCAGCAGTAGTAGTGGCAGTAGCAATAATTGAAGCAGTAGTGGCAGTAGCAATAATGGAAGTAGTAGTTTAAGCAGCAGTAGTGGCAGTATCAATAATAGAAGTAGTAGTTTAAGCAGCAGTAGTAGTGGTAGTAGCAATAATGGAAGTAGTAGTTTAAGCAGCAGTAGTAGTGGCAGTAGCAATAATAGAAGTAGTAGTTTAAGCAGCAGTAGTAGTGGCAGTAGCAATAATAGAAGTAGTAGTTTAAGCAGCAGTAGTAGTGGCAGTAGCAATAATGGAAGTAGTAGTTTAAGCAGCAGTAGTAGTGGCAGTAGCAATAATGGAAGTAGTAGTTTAAGCAGCAGTAGTAGTGGCAGTAGCAATAATGGAAGTAGTAGTTTAAGCAGCAGTAGTAGTGGCAGTAGCAATAATGGAAGTAGTAGTTTAAGCAGCAGTAGTAGTGGCAGTAGCAATAATGGAAGTAGTAGTTTAAGCAGCAGTAGTAGTGACAGTAGCAATAATAGAAGTAGTAGTTAAAGCAGCAGTAGTAGTGGCAGTAGCAATAATGGAAGTAGTAGTTAAAGCAGCAGTAGTAGTGGCAGTAGCAATAATAGAAGTAGTAGTTTAAGCAGCAGTAGTAGTGGCAGTAGCAATAATGGAAGTAGTAGTTTAAGCAGCAGTAGTAGTGGCAGTAGCAATAATAGAAGTAGTAGTTTAAGCAGCAGTAGTAGTGGCAGTAGCAATAATAGAAGTAGTAGTTTAAGCAGCAGTAGTAGTGGCAGTAGCAATAATGGAAGTAGTAGTTTAAGCAGCAGTAGTAGTGGCAGTAGCAATAATGGAAGTAGTAGTTTAAGCAGCAGTAGTAGTGGCAGCAGCAATAATGGAAGTAGTAGTTTAAGCAGCAGTAGTAGTGGCAGTAGCAATAATGGAAGTAGTAGTTTAAGCAGCAGTAGTAGTGGCAGTAGCAATAATGGAAGTAGTAGTTTAAGCAGCAGTAGTAGTGGCAGTAGCAATAATAGAAGTAGTAGTTAAAGCAGCAGTAGTAGTGGCAGTAGCAATAATGGAAGTAGTAGTTAAAGCAGCAGTAGTAGTGGCAGTAGCAATAATGGAAGTAGTAGTTAAAGCAGCAGTAGTAGTGGCAGTAGCAATAATAGAAGCAGTTGTGGCAGTAGCAATAATGGAAGTAGTAGTTTAAGCAGCAGTAGTGGCAGTATCAATAATAGAAGTAGTAGTTTAAGCAGCAGTAGTAGTGGTAGTAGCAATAATCGAAGTAGTAGTTTAAGCAGCAGTAGTAGTGGTAGTAGCAATAATGGAAGTAGTAGTTTAAGCAGCAGTAGTAGTGGCAGTAGCAATAATGGAAGTAGTAGTTTAAGCGGCAGTAGTAGTGGCAGTAGCAATAATGGAAGTAGTAGTTTAAGCAGCAGTAGTAGTGGCAGTAGCAATAATGGAAGTAGTAGTTTAAGCAGCAGTAGTAGGGGCAGTATCAATAGGAATAAACTCACAGGGAGCCAGTACAGCGGGGATCTACCAGTCATCAGTAGAAATTATCCTCGTCGACACACGTTTCGGCCCACGATTCCTAGACGTATTCGGAGGTGGGCCCTCCTGAGTTCATGACGCTCAGGGCTGGTTCCCCGCTGCACGGAATTACCGGATGGTGTTATTCTTTCGGCCAAAGACAAGACGACTTGGTGGTTTCGAAGGAGGTACTGTGAGATAAGAAGCCGCCACGGCAGCCTAATTAAAGCAGTCAGCATGCCTGGACGACCGAGCGACAAGCTTACTTTGGTTTACCGGACACATGTTGGACTTTTATTAGCAGTTGGCAGAGGAACACTGGCAGACAATTCGGACACGATGGACTTTCAAAGGGGTGAGAAACCCCGGACACCCGGACCAGCTCACCGAGGCCCGTCCCCTACGTTGTTGCGCTGCGTCCAAAGCCAGCTAGAGGCCCTTTCGGCTACCTCTCCCAGTTTTTTGAGTGTTCGTTTCCGTTCATTATGGCGCAATCCTAGTTCTTTCACCACATTGTAGAGCGAAGTGGAAACGAGGCCTCTCGCTCCCACTTCGACGGCAAATACCCGTACTGTGTAAGCCTCGTTTCTCCTCAGACCGGCTGCTAAATCACTGTACTTCTCGAGCTTGTACAAATGATTCTCCTCCATACGCGACTCAAACGGGACCGTCAGCTCGATCAGGATGAGCTGCCGTTTTTGCGCAGAATGGAGAACGATGTCCGGTCGCAGGCCGGTCTTACGGATCAACTCAGGGTACCGTTCATGGCCTGGCAGATCAGTAACCAGTCCCTCGTAGAGTCTAGCACAGATGGAGCGAATGCGTTTTGGTTGACCTTACCTTTTGGAACCTGACCAGCCTTGAGGAAACGAATGGGGACGATGCTAGAACTGGCTCTGGCATTAGCCCTCATTCTAGCCTGGTCGACAACGGCTGCTAACTCTTTTAGCACCTTTTTGTGTCGCCAGGTATAACGGCCTTGACCTAGGGCTTTCCTGCATGCGGACAGGACGTGCTCAAGAGTTTGCTTCGATTTACACAACGGGCAAGTCGGATCGTTGGTCGCAGACCATTTAACCATGTTAACACAGGACGGTAATACATCGTACGCCGAACGAACGATAAAGCTCAGTCGCAGCGGGGTCATCCGCCAGATCTCACCCCATGTGAGTATTCTTGGCAATGCGCTCTCCAGGCTGACCCAATGGCCCTGCTGCGACTGCTGGGCTGCTTTCTGGACCCGAACCTCGTTTTCGTTGTCCCTCACCGTTTGTATTACCATGTCTCGGCGCTCTTTGGCTGAGGCCTTTGACCACCAATTGACCTTCCCGTGCCCTAGGCCTAGACGGTCGGTTTGTGTGTATCCCATTATCTCTCTCAATTTTAGTGCATTCTGGGCAGATTCTATCGCATCGAGGACTCTCCACTTGGTTCCAGTCTTTAGAGCGGGCTCGACAGCGATGACATTTGGGTCTGAAGACTCGCGCAAAAGCATGGCGAGTCTTACCTTGCCGACTTTAAACTCTTCGGTTATCGATTTGAACGGAAGTACCAGCTTAGCCTTGGAGACACCATACCTTGAATTTTCCGACCAGCCTGCATCGCTCGATCGCGAGCAGGCCTGTAGCCAGTGACTCGTGTATTCGCCGGACCTCCGCTCTATCAGATAACTTCGAATCGTAAACGCGACCGAGACTCTTCACCGGTTCCTCCAGAACCGTGAGGATCTTGTTCCTTGCCACCGTAAAACTGGTTGCCACCACCCGACCCTTATTGATTGACAGACTCCTCGACTTCTGCGGTTTGAACTGCATACCGCTCCATTGGACCACCGCGTCCAATCTTTCCAGGATCGTGCAGGCAGACTCCTCGCTGACCGTTATAATAGTCGTGTCATCCATAAAGGCACGTAATGGTGGCATCCAGTGGTCCCCAATTTGAAGGCCCTGTCCGTAGCCGGCCGCCCCGTCTAACATGATCTGCATTGCCATGACAAACAGTATAGGTGAGATCGTACACCCCATAGCTATCCCAATCTGCAACTCAGTCCACCTCGTGGTAAACGTCGAGGTAGAGAAGCGCAAAGCGAACTTGGAGAAATATTGCTCGACCATTTGATTGATCTGTGCCGGTACGTGAAACATGCGAAGTAGTAGTTAAAGCAGCAGTAGTAGTGGCAGTGGCAATAATTGAAGTAGTAGTTTAAGCAGCAGTAGTGGCAGTAGCAATAATAGAAGTAGTAGTGGCAGTAGCAATAATGGAAGTAGTAGTTTAAGCAGCAGAAGTAGTGGCAGTAGCAATAATAGAAGTAGTAGTTTAAGCAGCTGTAGTAGTGGTAGTAGCAATAATGGAAGTAGTAGTTTAAGCAGCAGTAGTGGCAGTAGCAATAATAGAAGTAGTAGTGGCAGTAGCAATAATGGAAGTAGTAGTTTAAGCAGCAGTAGTAGTGGCAGTAGCAATAATAGAAGTAGTAGTTTAAGCAGCAGTAGTAGTGGCAGTAGCAATAATGGAAGTAGTAGTTTAAGCAGCAGTAGTAGTAGCCACAGTAGCAGTAGCAATAGTAGCAGTAATATTAGCAATAATAATGAAGATAGTGGCAGCTGTTGTAGCTATAGTAGCAGTAGTAGTTCTGATAGTAGTATTAGTAGCAGTAGTAGTAGAAGAGGTAGTAGTTAATGTATTAGTGGTAGTCATAATAGTAGTGGTAGCAGAAGTAGCAGTAGTAGTAGTATCTGTAAACAGCAGCAGTAGTAGCAGTAGCAATTGTAGCAGTAGTATTAACAGTAGCATTAGCAAAAGTAGTAGTAGCAGCAGTGATAGCAGTAGTAGTATTTGAAGTAGCAAAAGTAGTAGTAATTTGAGCAGCAGTGCTAGAAGCAGTAGCAATAACAGAAGTAGTAATAGTAACATTAGCAGTGGCAGTGGCAATATTAGTAGTAGTAGTAGTAGTAGTAGTAGTAGTAGTAGTAGCAGTAGTAGTAGTAGTAGTAGTAGTAGTAGTAGTAGTAGTAGTAGTAGTAGTAGTAGTAGTAGTAGTAGTAGTAGTAGTAGTAGTAGTAGTAGTAGTAGTAGTAGTAGTAGTGGTGGTAGTAGTTGCAATAATAATAACGATTATGGTAGCTGTTGTAGCAATAGTACCACTAATATTTGTTCTGGTAGTAGCAAAAGTAGCATTAGTAGTTTAAGATGAAGCTACTCTTTTTGATATCCAACTGCCAAGGGATTTTATGCGTGCGCAACAATGCACACGGGCGTCCAAACTCACTACCCACAGACCAGGGTAATTACTAGAATTCCAAGTCCACTCCAAGAAATCCCAGTCCTTACCCGGGAATGAACCCGGAACCTCTAGCACTTGATGTGAACACCACTCTAGACCAAGCTGCCCCCATTTGGGGAATAATGCAACAGAAAGGAAAGCTCACTCGCGGTTAAATCATTGCTTACCTGAGAGAAACGCCACTCTGGACATGGGGACGTTGTACTCGCTGGCCATGTAGGTGCTTCTGAAGAATGATATGCCCGCCCACGGAACTGACGATATCAGGGTGTCGAAAACCATGATGAGAAATATGGGCCGTCGGAACAGTCGTACAATTGCCTTAGGGTAGTCTACGGAGAGAGTTTAATCAACTGTTGATGGTTAGTCTACGGACAGTTTCACATAATTCCCTTGACCCCAACCCTCAACCCCCGACCTCAACCCTCAAGCCCCACCCCCACAACAAACATTGTAGTTGTCGTTGTTGTCGTTGTTGTTGTTGTAGTTCTTCTTCTTCTTCTTCTTCTTCTTCTTCTTCTTCTTCTTCTTCTTCTTCTTCTTCTTCTTCTTCTTCTTCTTCTTCTTCTTCTTCTTCTTCTTCTTCTTCTTCTTCTTCTTCTTCTTCTTCTTCTTCTTCTTCTTCTTCTTCTTCTTCTTCTTCTTCTCTTCTTCTTCTTCTTCTTCTTCTTCTTCTTCTTCTTCTTCTTCTTCTTTCTTCTTCTTCTTCTTCTTCTTCTTCTTCTTCTTCTTCTTCTTCTTCTTCTTCTTCTTCTTCTTCTTCTTCTTCTTCTTCTTCTTCTTCTTCTTCTTCTTCTTCTTTCTTCTTCTTCTTCTTCTTCTTCTTCTTTCTTCTTCTTCTTCTTCTTCTTCTTCTTCTTCTTCTTCTTCTTCTTCTTCTTCTTCTTCTTCTTCTTCTTCTTCTTCTTCTTCTTCTTCTTCTTCTTCTTCTTCTTCTTCTTCTTCTTCTTCTTCTTCTTCTTCTTCTTCTTCTTCTTCTTCTTCTCTTCTTCTTCTTCTTCTTCTTCTTCTTCTTCTTCTTCTTCTTCTTCTTCTTTCTTCTTCTTCTTCTTCTTCTTCTTCTTCTTCTTCTTCTTCTTCTTCTTTCTTCTTCTTCTTCTTCTTCTTCTTCTTCTTCTTCTTCTTCTTCTTCTTCTTCTTCTTCTTCTTCTTCTTCTTCTTCTTCTTTCTTCTTCTTCTTCTTCTTCTTCTTCTTCTTCTTCTTCTTCTTCTTGTTTTTTTTTTTTTTTAAATCCTAATGCTGCTTCTGCTGCTGCTTCTCCTTCCTTATTTACTGGAGTGAAATGTTAGAAGACAAACTATTCTTCTGAGTCGTCTATATTGCGCTGTATAATTTTAAATTTTTTTCTCTAAAGTTGGTGTTGATGCCGTCGCTCCATCGTTTACACGGTTGCAACCTGTTTCATGGTTATTCTTCTTTGTTATGACCGAATTCTATTACAGATGGTACTAGAGAGTTCCTGTGAGTTATATAAACCAGTGCTCTTCAACTTTTTGAAGGGTGGAACTTGAGCATACTTGTGAATTATAAAAACGGTGTTCTTCAACTCTGTGGAAGGTGGTAATAGAGCATTCTTGTGAGTTATATAAACCGGTGTTTTTCAACTCTGCGGTAGGTGGTACTAGAGCCTACATGTGAGTTATATTAACATGTGTTCTTAAACTCTGTGGAAGATAGCTTAGAACATTTTGTCAAATATATAAGCCAGTGTTCTTCAAATGTTTGCACATGTGGACTGAAAAAAATAAGAGAAATGTTTGTTGGACCGATGAGGAGCTGAGACGGAACCATAATTAAAATATACATAGTATTAATATTCAAATATAAAATATTAGGCACTGTCACATCTTTTGTTTAGAAGTTGGAAACTCTGGTGTTCGTGACTGGAATGTTGTTTCTGTGGGATAAACAGCTATACAGTAGTATCATGTAATCGATCTCCCCCCCCCCCCCTCAAATCCGCTGGTATCGACTGTAGCAGCTACATTATTGGGTGACATATTGGTCGTATCATCAAGGAATTTGTGGGGACCAGTATCGGCCACGGACCACATGCTGACTATCACAGAACTTTATACATCATAAAAACACTATCAATTTTACAAACCATTTATTACATTTACCGTTAACAGAACTACTTTCATGAAATATGAGGTTTGAGGTTATGAACATCGGATCAACATCATGGCACACGGGTAGTAACTAGGGCTGTACCTAATATTCGCTTCGTATTCGCTTCGGGGCCGAATAGTGGACCGTTTGACTATTTGGTATTCGGCCGAATAGGTGCGGTCGGGCCGAATACGAATAGTAGTTACCTTACACCCGCTTCTGCATACACGGCCTTAATGCTGACAACATGGAACGATTGGTTCTGTTGAAAGCTAATGCAGCTTTTATGCAATAACTACGCTGTCAGTGACAATTTCCAAGTTTATTTACTTGTTATAGTACTTAGGATTCTATCATTTCTAGCTATTAGTTACCACAGACTGACTGAAGGATGCAACACATTAAATGTTTTTAAATGCTTACTTTTCTGTACGAATACTAACTAGACATGGAAAGAATATAAACTCCGGCCACATCTAAGTCGATAATATGAAAATCAAACGAACGGAAACATATAAGTACTTGTGTGCAATAATCAACTGCTCCAACATGCTGAGAGAAGAAATACAATGTAGAATACAATCTGGAAATAAAGTATACTATGCCCTTCAACATCTGCTAAAGTCAAAGCGTCTGTCTCGCAACAAAAAGATCAAAATATATAAAACGTTGATAAGACCAGTCGTTTTATTTGGCTCTGAAACTTGGAGTACAACTAAAAGAGATGACGCCTTATTACAGGTTTTCAAAAACAGTCTTACGACAAATCTGTGGTCCCATCAAATATGCCAACAGCTGGGAATGGAGAGTGAGAAGCAACAACGTAACACATAATCTGTTTAAATCGTCATTAATCACTGGCATCATGAGAGCTAACAGACTAAAATGGTTGGGGCATATTGAAAGAATGTCAGAAGACAGAGAAGTAAAGTTGTATACACATGAGAGAGGAATGGGCGTAGACCACGAGGCAGACAATAAATAAAATCGGGAGATAATGACCAGCCAGACCTGCAAACAACTGGTGTCACAAATTGTGAAGAGAAGGCCAGCTAGAGAGATGAATGGAGACGAGTGATATCTGCAGCAGTAAACCTCAAGGGCTCAGAATGCTAAAAAAAAGAAGATGCCTATTCTGTGCTACTTTATGTGAAGTAAAAGTTTAGCGTACATTCGACATTATGAATGTGTTTTTAGATATATTTCATTCACTATACACTTTTCGTATTCTTATTCAGCGGAATAGTTGGTCCCGTTATTTGTATTCGGTCGAATAGTGAAAATCTCTATTTGGTACAGCCCAAGTAGTAACCTATAAGTGCTCCGTTCTTCTTCTAACTCAAGTCTGAGTCTGAAGAATTTCAGCATAGTGCACAGGCTCTGTAGCTCCAGCGAGGATCCTGAAATACTTTGAGTTGATTTTAACTAAAAATTTTGCTTGGGCAGAGCCGTTAGGCTAATCTTTTTGATTTCCAACTGTCAAGGGATTTTTTTTACGTGCGCTCGCGCGTCCGATCTCACTACCCAGAGACCAAGGTGAATTACTAGAGGTCCAAGTCCACGTGAAAATATCCCAGCCCTTACAGAGGATTAAACCCGGAACCTCTAGCACTCAAGACGGACACCATGCCTCGAGAACACGCAGTCCTATTAACTTTTGTGGATAAAGTCTAAAAATTAAAAAAAAATTTTTTTTTAGTAATAGCTGCTTGGATTACGTCTAACGTGTATTCTTATTCGGTAAAGAAATCCTAATTCCAGCATAATTAGCGGTAAAACGGTGTATTCATAATCTGTTGAAATCACAACTAATTAATCCTTGGCGTTCAGAAGGCCAGTGGATAGCAATGTGTGGTTCGTATAGAGAATGGCAGATCCCAGAGAGACAAAAGCAGCAAGGAGACGGAATGCTAAAGACGTTGTATGTATGTAAGTTGTACCCCACCATTTCATCACACAAGCAATAGACAATCAATGACACAAAATGCCACTATGCGGATGAGGATCACCAGTGGAGAGATCCCGAAAACGCCGTTCAGCCGTTTGGCTTTATTTCAGGCCGTGCTTTGTTTTGGGCTCCCGGCAAAAGCCGTGATATCCGAATACCACGAGGGGATGACGAGGTTCTGTTCATTGTGAAGCATTTTAAAACACACATCTTTAAATCAGCTTTTGTTTTCAATATCTGTCTGAAATAGCGGTGTAAAATAATAAAAAAAGAGGTGGGTGGGGGGGGGGGGGGGGGGGGGGGGGGGGAGGAGGTAAGAGAGAGAGAGAGAGAGAGTCCAAACCTACCTTTAAGTAGCTGAAGGGAGGAATCCGCTAGATCTTCTTCATTGTTCGGTGACTTTATTGGCTGCTCAAATACAATGTCCCCTGTTATGCTCACCTTTCTTTCTGTGGGACCGGACATGGTTGGAAACACACTGGATCTGAGGAGGTAAGTTCAAGTGACATTACAGTAAAACTTCGATTAACCGTCACTGGCTTTACCGTCAGTTTCTCTTACCCACCATCGTATTTAAAAAAAAGTGCTTTTAAAATGCATCGACGGTTTTGAAATGCCCAAACAGGCAAATGCAACACTGAGTAAGATACGGAATATCACTCGAGCATCACAGACACAGAAGGAGATGACATATTTTTTTTAACACAGTTTGTAGTAGTAGTAGTAGTAGTAGTAGTAGTAGTAGTAGTAGTAGTAGTAGTAGTAGTAGTAGTAGTAGTAGTAGTAGTAGTAGTAGCAGCAGCAGCAGCAGTAGCAGCAGCAGCAGTAGTAGTAGCAGTAGTATTAGTAGTAGTAGTAGTAGACGACAATAAAGAAGAAGAAGATAGCGGAGAGAGGAGTATAAGGAGTATTGTTTATTATATTTATCCTACTAGAGGGCTGAAGAGTTGTAAACATGGTAAACATGGAGAGGTTCTGGAAACACCGTTTTACCCATAGGCTGGGTTACATTAGGGTCCCCGGCAAGAGCCAGGGCTGAGCTTTAGGATAGGTAAAAATTGCCTGGCATATAGGGACGAAAATAAAATTATGAGAGTTCAGTGTCAGCAACGGTGGATTCGGTAAAACAAAAACAAAGCAAAAACTGCATTGGTTTTGAGAGCTATATGAATGATTAGAGTTTAACCCCCACCAGGACTTCACGACCAACGATAAACACCCGGTGACACAAATTGCAAACTCCCATAAGTGTTCAGTCCCCACCTGCAGCAGCAAGCAAAGAGTACTGGTTCCTATAGTACCAGTATCCGTCTGATTGTATATTAGTCTCATCCTTCCCCTGAGTGTTGAGCGTCGGCAAGATCCAATGGTAATTCATCGCAGCGCCATTCTCCTTAGACCGTGATGATCTATCTGCGCCTCTGCACTGTTCACTCCCTCCCAAAGGGCCCTCACAATATCTAGCTTGTCATACATCAATTCACCACCAAGTGGTGCAGAGCTGGCCAGTCTATCTGTCCGCTCATTTCCCAATACACCGGCATTACATTGAGAAAATATCCAAAGGATGCTAACTACTCGGGACCAACTCAGCAAGAAACGAAACAATCAACAGCCCAATCCAATTACAAATCAGCCTTCAACGAACCTACGTCTGGACCTGTTGCCCCGAGACTTCGTACTTTGTTTTCTGTAGGATGGAGTCGAGTCATCAATAGGAACCTGGACGTCGGAGTCTGGCGCTGTGAGCACGATGCTGACCTTTCTGTCCCTGTGGATGAGAAACAACAACAGAGTCTAAGCCAGTGCCCACTTGCAGTGTCGTGGTATCCATAACTCGCATGATACTTCATCATTGAGCCATCTCCCACTTGCAGTGTCGTGGTATCCGTAACTCGAATGATACTTCATCATTGAACCGGCTCCCACTTGCAGTGTCGTGGTAACCATAGTTCGCATGATACTTCTTTCAAAAATTACCTTGGCTCGAAGGCCAACCCTGCCTCAAATGGTTACCAGGTAAAGCCCAGGGAAGTAAAAGCGGCGTGTGTTGACCACGTAGTCCCCGCCGATTGGTCTTCCATGTGCTCTTTCTACTGAGTTTTTAAACTGAATGTGTCCTTTCTTTGGCCATTCTTGATGCTATCGTTTCAGTTTTGGCGTAGTCCTCTCCATGTTCTGCAGTCATTTCTTCATCGCTGCTGTATGTAACAGCTAGTGCCAGGGCATTCTCGACATAGGGCCAAGTCGTCTCATGTTCTGCTCTTCAATGTATGACTGGTTTCAATCCTAGTCTTCTTCGTATTGCCTAGTGTTGAGTGTGTCTGTCCTCATTCCTCTAGGAACTCTTCTGAGAATCTCATCTATGTTTTGAGATCATAAGTTTTATGACACAGATGTCTGCTAAAGATGAAGTGGCTGACGAGAAAGCAGAAGTCGACAACCATGATAACATCATTGGCGTAGTAGTACTAATAGTAGTAGTAGTAGTAGTAGTAGTAGTAGTAGTAGTAGTAGTAGTAGTAGTAGTAGTAGTAGTAGTAGTAGTAGTAGTAGTAGTAGTAGTAGTAGTAGTAGTAGTAGTAGTAGTAGTAGTAGTAGTAGTAGTAGTAGTAGTAGTAGTAGTAGAAAAAAAAAAGAAGAAGAAGAAGAAGAAGAAGAAGAAAAAGAAGAAGAAGAAGAAGAAGAAGAAGAAGAAGAAGAAGAAGAAGAAGAAGAAGAAGAAAAAGAAGAAGAAGAAGAAGAAGAAGAAGAAAGAAGAAGAAGAAGAAGAAGAAGAAGAAGAAGAAGAAGAAGAAGAAGAAGAAGAAGAAGAAGAAGAAGAAGAAAAGAAGAAGAAGAAGAAGAAGAAGAAGAAGAAAAAAAGAAGAAGAAGAAGAAGAAGAAGGAGAAGAAGAAGAAGAAGAAGAAGGAGAAAAAGAAGAAGAAGAAGAAGAAGATGAAGAAGAAGAAGAAGAAGAAGAAGAAGAAGAAGAAGAAGAAGAAGAAGAAGAAGAAGAAGAAGAAGAAGAAGAAGAAGAAGAAGAAGAAGAAGAAGAAGAAGAAGAAGAAGAAGAAGAAGAGGAAGAAGAAGAAGAGAAGAAGAAGAAGAAGAAGAAGAAGAAGAAGAAGAAGAAGAAGAAGAAGAAGAAGAAGAAGAAGAAGAAGAAGAAAAAGAAGAAGAAGAAGAAAAAGAAGAAGAAGAAGAAGAAGAAGAAGAAGAAGAAGAAGAAGAAGAAGAAGAAGAAGAAGAAGAAGAAGACAAAGAAGAAGAAAAAGAAAAAGAAGAAGAAGAAGAAGAGGGTGGAGGGAAGGATATAATGAGGAGGAGACGGTGTATGAGAATCAGAAATAATCAACACACTAACCTATCATAGATGTCGCCTGGTATACCGTTAGAAACCACGTTCTCCACCTCCTCCTCGATTTCCCCACCGGCAAACTGAACCACTGTCTTGTGTTCGGCAGTTTTCTGTGTCTTCTTGGAGACGAGCCTTCGAGGAAACAACATCACGGGGATGGAGAAAACTACTGTGCCGATGCCAAAGATAAGGAAACCCAGCCACCAGGCTGAGACAAAACGGTGATCATTGATGCTCAACTCAGTCTCTGCAAATTGGGAAACATGTATTATTTAGATAGTTAAACAGTCGAGCAGTTAATCCCAGTTCCAATAGCATGGCAAACAGGCCACCTTACAATTACTTTTTTTTTTATGTGCCAGCAAAAGCCATATTACACCTATTTGAGCAGTAATGTAGATAAAGATGGAAGAACTGGTAGCGATATTAAAATAAGGATACAAAAGGCAAGAGGAGCTTTAAAAAAACTAGGGTTTTTGTGGAGGAAAAAAAAAAAAAAAAGAAATTAAGAGAAATACTAAACTAAAAATTTTTTAGAAGAAGAAGAATTTTTAATTAAAATGTCAAATCAGTACTGTTGTATGAGAGCTGGAGAATAAAGTTAGAAAGACTGGGAGGACATAGAGAGAGAGAGAGCTCCATGTAATGAAGAAGGATAGAACGACTTGGAGTGAGTGGTTGAGGGCCTATGCTTCATTGGGGGATAGAAAGGCAGAAGCAGAAGAAGCAAAAGCCATACATAAGGCATCAGTGTCGAAAAAGAGGGGGAGGGAGGAAAAGGGGGGAGGGAACCAACTGCAGGCTCTGAGAAGAAACTAGCATACACAGGAATTAAATCCACATAGTTGTGGTATGAGGCACGACCGGCTCCAGCTGACGGGCCGTGCTGCTAACGTCACCGGGTCGGGCTAACGATGCGTTAAAGCAGCAGTTCTCAAACTGGGTGCCGAAGCACACTGGGGTGCCGTTAGCGTATGCTAGGGGAGCCGCGGAAATAATCAAGTAAAGTCGGCTAAAAATTGTGAAATTATTAAAGAAGGAATGTAGATACTTGAAAGTTAAAAATCTAAGTTGTCCTTCCTAGCCACGGTCGAAAATTGTTTATTTATTGTTTTAGAACCACTGCGTTAACGCATCTTTAGCCCGACCTGGTGACGTCAGCAGCACGGCCTGTCAACTAAAGCCGGTCTTGTATGAGGTGTCATCACGTAAAGTCAGTCACTAAAACTGCAGTTAAACAATTCGGCAACTGCACACTTAATGTCGCATATAGAACCACCAGTTCTGTCAGAATGCTCATTTGCCATTTCTCGAATCTGCAGCTCCCAACACAAGGCACCATGCAGTTACCCAGCTGGGCTATGTTTTTTTCGCCAGTTATAATATTAACTATTTCTTAACAATAGACAACCATGGCACTCGAGAAATCCCCACGAGTGAGTGGTCCCAGCAGAGAAACGATTGAGGATGTTATCAAACGTAGGACACAGCCATGCTTAGTTTTTTTATGTTAATCTATTTCCTCCCTTTGGTGTTGTGGAAAGACTTTATTTCTCTCAGGAATCTCTGTCGTGAAGTGGTCAATCCGTTTGCCTCGTGATCTTAAGGTCGTGGGTTCGTTTCACAACTACATCACTCGATCTGTCGAGTGCAAATTTTACGAAGACCCCGATGATCGTCGCCTACGCTATTCGTGCTTTTATGCGACGTTCTCGACTGGCGGCTAGCTGTTTTGCGGAGAGAGATCGAACCATAGGCGACGATGAAGTTGACCACCTCAACTGTAAACCTTTTGAAGCTTTCATTTCTTACAACGTTTAAAGGGACTCATTTGTGGCAGGTTCGACAACCTCGACTGTATCCCCTTTAAAGCTTTCATTTCTTACAACTTTTAAAGCGACTTATTTGTGGCAGGTTTGACAACCTCAACTGTATCCCTTTTAAAACTTTCATTTCTTACAACGGTTAAAGGGACTCATTTGTGGCAGGTCAACTCAGGATCGAAAGATCAACGTTTGAAACCTTGTTGAACGAACGAGGGTTTAAACACATGACTACCAATCTACCGCTACTGAAGCCAGTCCTAATTGATATCAAGTTAAGTAAGCATGAGTTATATGTTGTGATGCTGATTAAGGTAACCATCGATTATTGATCAGTGACTTTAACCAAAATCGGGATAAAGAGCAATTGGTTTTTGATTCTAAACACCAACCTGATGAGCAACTGGCTTCACTGTTGTGTTAACTACTAACACACAGACTAACCTAGCAATATCCCCATTTTGGACTTGTCTATGAGGTTGTCATCGATGTAAATAGCAGGCAGGAACCCAGAATTGAAGACATCAGTGATTCCCTTCATCAACTGTAGCCCAATCAAGATATTGTAGGCTAGGCGGTTCACTTTCTTGTCCTGAAATAATGGTCAATGTTCTGTCATTGTAGTTACATGTTTCAGTATGAACACACTGAGGTGAGACTATCTTGATTTATTCTGTGTATATATGATTGTATAGCTAATTGTCTGCACAGGTACACAAAGAATGTTCTTCATACAGTTACACTAAGACAAATCTTCTTCTTCTTTTCCTTCTTCTTCTTCTTTTTCTTTATTTGTTATCTCAGCCCCCCCCCCCACTTCGCCATTTCTCCCCTTTCCCCAGCACATTCAAACCATGTTACCCAAAACACTGTTAGGTCCAACAGGTATTTTTCAGAAGGCAAAGGCAAAGTACTGAACTGACTGACTGACTTTCTACCCCACCAGGACATCAAACAAGCGATGAACACCTCAGACACAATGTGCCATCACGTGGATGAGGATCGCCCGTGTAGAGGTCCCAAAAACCGAGCTCAGCCTTTAGGCTATATTTATGGCCAGACTATATTGCGGCCCCTGGTAGGACTTCAAATTACGAAAAATTGCATCCTTAAAAGGACGGCAAGATTAATGAGCGTAAAGTACTGAATTTCAAAATTTTGTAGTACAAACACAAATGCTAGAGTTGAATCTGCAACTTCTCGTAAAGAACAGCAAATAACTTTAACAATTTTTTTTTTGTAGTGTGGAACGTAAGATATAAGAGCCGAAAGGCAACCGGTTAGCCAGCGTCTGCTTGTGCTAATGAGGTGGAAACGACACAACTGCCCATACCTCTAAGCTAGAGGCAGAGTCGGTTTGGTTGACACCCAGAGGGTAGCAGATGTATTTATCATTGTCGCTGGTTGAGTTGTTGTCTCCCCTGTAGACACATACACAGAATTTGGTAAATAATGGTCACTTGTTGGTTTTAGGTAAACATGAATTAATTACAAGACAATGCCTAGACCAGTGGCGTGAGGGGGGGGGGGGGGCGTGGGGGTGTAAGATGGTAGGCTCAATTTTGTTTTAGACATCACTTTTACTTGCCGAAATAAGATCACACTTCCCAGGACACTAAATGTTTCCTTTGAGGGTTGGGTTGACTTTAGCACTAACTACTGTGTGGATTCGAATCTGAGGGCTTCCCGTCGCCAGGTGAGACACTAGCCATTAATTTACCACAGCTCCTACAAGCTTGCTTGCCTGTGCTCCCAATTCAGCGGACTGGGCCACCATTTTAGTATGAGAGTGTTCCGCGTGAAAACCTTAAACGTTTAACAGGAATACTAGAACTATACTTTCTTCTTCTTCTTGTTCCTCTTCTTCTTTTTCTCTTCCACCTTGTACCTCATCGAAGTGTCGGGGGAAATGTAACGTTCGTTGATGAGCTCTGCCAAGAGCACTAATAAGACAGATGTTCATTTCTTTAAAGCTGTTCTTAAAGCCGTCATTCCATATTTTCCGAGGTCTTCCATTCGCTCTATACCCGATGTAACGTTTTAGTGTGGCTCGCTGTGGCAGATAATACCAGGGCATTCTTGTTAGGTGTCCAAACTACTTCGTTTGTTGTTCTTTGATGACCTGTAAGACTTGCTTTATTCCTAGCTAACTAACTATACCACTGTCTTTTAACCTGATAATATGGCCCCTGAAAATAGCTTGGCCACAATTGTGGCCATGGCGGCTGAAAAAGGTTTCTGGGACCTCTCCACGGTGATCCTCATCAGCATGGTGGCACTTTGTGTCACCGGGGGTTTATCGCTTGTGTGATGCTCTGGTGGAGTACATCAAGCAAGCAATCAAGCAAGCTCACTATTTCTTTGATGTAGCTACAAATCAAGCCAGCTAAAATCCATGCTGTAACCTTACCTTCTCAAATTTAACCGCTGAACTAGCAAAGATGAAATTACATTATTCTATCGTGTGTATGTGTTAACCCCCCTCCCCTTTTTTTTTTTCACCCCCCCCCCCCCCCCCCCCCCCCCCCCCCCCCCCACCTTTCAACAATTGCAAATGTATGATTAATATCTCAAGGATAAGAATCGCACAGGTATAAATCCGGGAAATGCAGTTCAGCCAATAAGCCATATCTTCTTCATTCTTTCTTCTAACTTTCTAACGCCCAGTGTAGCATAGGCCCTTAACCAACTCATGCCAAGTGGTTCTATCCTTCTCTATCGCATGCAGCTCTCCCCATGTCCTCGCCATCTTTTTAACTTCACTCTCTAGCTCGCTGTTTTCATTGTTACTCCTACATAGTACACAGTTCTAAACATTAGGTTTCATTGTTACTCCTACATAGTACACAGTTCTAAACATTAGGTTTCATTGTTACTCCTACATAGTACACAGTTCTAAACATTAGGTTTCATTGTTACTCCTACATAGTACACAGTTCTAAACATTAGGTTTCATTGTTACTCCTACATAGTACACAGTTCTAAACATTAGGTTATATTGTTACTCCTACATAGTACACAGTTCTAAACATTAGGTTTCATTGTTACTCCTACATAGTACACAGTTCTAAACATTAGGTTTCATTGTTACTCCTACATAGTACACATTTCTAAACATTAGGTTTCATTGTTACTCCTACATAGTACACAGTTCTAAACATTAGGTTTCATTGTTACTCCTACATAGTACACAGTTCTAAACATTAGGTTTCATTGTTACTCCTACATAGTACACAGTTCTAAACATTAGGTTTCATTGTTACTCCTACATAGTACACAGTTCTAAACATTAGTTTTCATTGTTACTCCTACATAGTACACAGTTCTAAACATTAGGTTTCATTGTTACTCCTACATAGTACACAGTTCTAAACATTAGTTTTCATTGTTACTCCTACATAGTACACAGTTCTAAACATTAGGTTTCATTGTTACTCCTACATAGTACACAGTTCTAAACATTAAGTTTCATTGTTACTCCTACATAGTACACAGTTCTAAACATTAGGTTTCATGTTACTCCTACATCCTACACAGTTCTACACATTTAAGTTCTACTCCTACATAGTACACAGTTTCATTGTTACTCCTACATAGTACACAGTTCTAAACATTAGGCTAGTTGCGTATTCTTTACAGGACGTTGCAGAACCAACCTGAGCAGCCCCTGACTGTTGTATGGTTTTTCTAGGCAAATTTGCGTCCAGTAGTTTGCCATTGCCATTAGGACGGTCGGCTTTCTTGATACCATTGTCGAAACCAACACAAGGCGCATCGCCCGAAGTTGGGGTCGAACCCGGCATCCCGGCATTTCGAAACGTTCGCATCGACTTGGCCACAGAGCCGACTTTTAAACATTGCAGGTGCCAATTCTGACTGACTGACTGACTGACTGACTGTCTACCCCACTAGGACATCACACAAGCGATAAACATCCGATGACACAAAGTGCCATAATGTGGATGAGGATCGCCGTGGAATGGTCCCAGAAACCGCGTTTAGACAATTGGCCATATTTATGGCCTGCCTATATTGCGGCCTCTGGCAAAAGCCAGGTGGGGCTTCAAATAACAAAAAATTTCATCCTAAAAAGGACGTAAGGATTAATAATCTGTGTTGGTATATTAGCCAATTCTTTAAGTGCCATACTTCTATGATTAGCCTTGCTGGTCTACCATCCAGACTAAGATTTTGTAATCCCCGGAGTTTCACCCCCCCTCCCCCCCCCCTTCCCCACGTAACAGTTTAGAGGGAGAAAAAACAGCACGGTACGGCTTAGGTAGGGACAGTCAGAAAAATCGAGTCCATGACAGAGGCGTATAGACTCGGATGTGGCTTAGGTAACCAATGTCTTTCTTCTTCTTCTTCTTCTCTTCCACCTTGTACCTCATTGTACCTCATCGAAGTGTCGGGGGAATATGTAATGTTCGTAGATGAGCTCTGTCAAGAGCACTATTAAGACTGATGTTCATATCTGTAAGGCTGTTCTTAACGCCATCACTCAATATTTTCCGAGGTCTTCCACTAGCTCTATACCCGTTGTAACGTTTTAGTGTGGCTCGTTGTGGCAGATAGTACCAGGGCATTCTTGTTAGGTGTCCAAACCACTTCATTTGTTGTTCTTTGATGACCTGTAAGACTGGCTCTATTCCTAGCATTCGTCTGATTTCATGATTTCGTATTCTGTCTTTACTTGAAACTCCTGCAGCTCTTCTAAGGCATTTCATCTCTGTTGTCGTTTATTGGAGGATGTAAGTGTCCATGTTTGGCACTGATAGCATAGACCAATGTCTTTTGTTATCGACAGTGTTGAAAGGAACATACGTTTTTTAACAAGGGACACTTTCATGGTTATGGCGAGTCTGGCACGTATCAAAAGTAACCTGGAGGTTCTTTTGTCACGCCTTCTGGCGTATTTGGACTAGACCTATTCTGTAAAGACCAATCGGTGCTCAGTTGGTGATGCCGCCTTTACTTCCCAGGACTTTACCTGGTACGGGTTTAAGGTTGGGTCGATCTTGGAGCCACGGTCATTTCTGAAACATGTCCGGCTCCGTTCGGACCCGATCGCACGACTTTCAGATCCATAGGCTAGCGTCCTGCCGCTTTACCACGACGGCTCCCATCAGACATATAATCTTCTTATTCTGCCTTTCTAACCCCCAATGGAGCATAGGCCTTCAACCAACTCACCCCAAGTCGTCCTATGCTTCGCTATCTCATGCAGCTCTCCCTATATTCTCCCCAGTCTTTTTAACTTTACTCCTTAGCTCCCCTCTCCGTGTTTTTTGTGCTGTCTTTCTTTCTTGCTATGCCCCTGTGGGTTCCAGTACAATGATATTCTAGTTATACTGTTCTCAGGTTTTTTCTATGTGGGTCCTATTCAACGCCATCGTATTTGCTTCACCTCTTGGTCCACTGGAACTTGTTTTGTTCTCTCACAAAGGTCTATATTAGTTATTCTATCATACCATTTCCCATCTTGTGCCAATTAGTTGATACAATTTAAGTCAAGCCCTCTATGCCCTATACGCTTAAAGGCGTTGAAAAAGGGATCTTTGATTTTAAAAAACCGAAACAAAAGTCTTCAAACTCACACATCAGGCAGCTTAAAGGGGTCCACAAATTGTAGAATCGGAGGAATCAGCAGCAGAAGTCCTTGAATTACACCAGAGAGCCCCACAACCACAGGGATGTGTGCTTTCTGTTGCGGATGGAGTAATTGCCAGTCAGTGACATCAACATACCATAGAAGGCATACATAAAAATCGGAGATAATGGACAGACCAGAGCAAGTCATCATTCTACGCCTTAGAACAGGACACTGTCGACGTCACAGCCACACGTACACAAAGGTTGACGAATCAGCCATGTGTACATGTGGATTGGCACCTGAGACAACAGACCACGTCCTCAAAGACTGTCCAAAATACAACATATCAAGACAAAACTTTTGGCTAAGAGCAACACCGATGCAATCCAAACTTTACGAGTCGTTGATTGAAATACCATAGACAGAAAGATATGGACGTAGAGCAAAAGGTAGATCTAGAACAAGATGGGAAGATAACGTTTCAGACACTCTAAAAGTACTATGTGTCGTATATTGTCGTGGCGCCTATACGAGCAAGAACAAGATGGGAAGATAACGTTACAGACACTCTAAAAGTACTATGTCGTATATTGTCGCGGCGCCTATAGGATCAAGAACAAGATGGGAAGATAACGTTACAGACACTCTAAAAGTACTATGTGTCGTATATTGTCGTGGCGCCTATAAGAGCAAGAACAAGATGGGAAGATAACGTTACAGACACTCTAAAAGTACTATGTGTCGTATATTGTCGTGGCGCCTATAAGAGCAAGAACAAGATGGGAAGATAACGTTACAGACACTCTAAAAGTACTATGTGTCGTATATTGTCGTGGCGCCTATAAGATCAAGAACAAGATGGGAAGATAACGTTACAGACACTCTAAAAGTACTATGTGTCGTATATTCGTCGCCTATACGAGCAAGGCGTTACCTATATATTGTCGTGGCGCCTATAAGCAAGAACAAGATGGGAAGATAACGTTACAGACACTCTAAAAGTACTATGTGTCGTATATTGTCGTGGCGCCTATAAGATCAAGAACAAGATGGGAAGATAACGTTACAGACACTCTAAAAGTACTATGTGTCGTATATTGTCGTGGCGCCTATAAGATCAAGAACAAGATGGGAAGATAACGTTACAGACACTCTAAAAGTACTATGTGTCGTATAACTTAGTACATATTAAAGCTAGGTCAGCCTGGGAACCAAGACGACTTTTCAACAACAACAAAGTATAGCTCTGTCAGGACCTCATCCTCCTTCGTCTTCTGCTTTGTTCACCGGCTGGAAGCTCCGGCGGAAAATCCCGGTTGCTCGTCAGTTTCAACACTGGCTTTGTGCCAGGGCCTGAGTTTTGCGTGTACATCCGTTTTACTGGCTTATTTCTATGCAGTTGTTTGTTCCTTGTCGCTTGAGAAGATGCACTCTGATTTTAAAAGAAGCTCCCATATTGCCAACTCGTACGACATGCTTTTTGTGGGAGGCAGTGGGTCTATTCATGCTTTCCCCACAATGGGGCCCCGGAACCTTTGCAGGGACGTCAGGGTTTGAACCTACGACCTTTCGCTCCTCAGGCAAGCGGATAGCCGCTATACTACAGTGGCTCCCAAACTGAAACATATCGGCAATGATTCTTTCGATTCCTTCGCAGAAAGTCGTTCACGTCGCTCACCACTGGAAGTTAGTGGTCAGTTTCATGGCAAATATATCGTTCCCTGAAGTCTCCAATATCTTGCTCCCATCTGTGTAGGTAGGTAGGTAGGTAGGTAGGTAGGTAGGTAGGTAGGTAAGCTGTACCCCACCAGGACATCCCACAGGCGATGAACACCCGGTGACACAAAGTGCCACCATGCGGATGAGGATCACTCGTGGAGAGGTCCCGGAAACCCCATTCAGCCATTAGGCTATATTTATTGCCCGGCTATGTTTAGAGCCCCGGCAAAAGCCAGGGTGGGGTTTCAAAAAACGAAAAATTGCATCTCACAAGGGGATGAAGGGTGATATACTTTCTCATAGTAGTATCATCTTTGTGTGGTCGACCCCTGCCTCTTCGTAGGAATTAAAGGTGTCTTCAGTGGAATAATATTACAGTTTATGTTCACCCTGCAGTGCATGCACAGCTGTTTTATACTTTATGCTCTGTAACGGTTTTAGGTTGAGTTAATTTGAAATTTAGGCATTTCATTCTAAAAAAAAAAGCAAACACACAGAAGTAATAGCAAAATTTGCAGTCTACAAAGGAAGAGAAAAAAACATGTACCTTGGTAAAATGGCCAGCAAGAAGTATGGTGCACAGATAGCCAGCCTTGAAGGCGGTGTCAAAGAGGCCTGCGCTGGCGTTGTCAATGTTGAACTGGCGTTCCAGCGATGGCAGCTGTAGGGGGAGAGATGATTGTAGTATCTGGTTTAGTTTTATGGTTGCACAGATGATTACTACTTCAGTGATTCCCAAACTCTGCTCCACAGCGCCCCGGGGAAGCCGCGACCTCTAAACTTTGTGCCACGATATATTCAAAGAGACACGAGTTTTTTTTTGGTCTCTTACATACAAATAGTCATAATTTGTAGGACGCCGTGGAAAAATTTTCATTGAAAAAAAAAGGCGCCGCGACTAAGTAAAATTTGGGAAACTACTACACAATGGAAACAAAATTAGATGACTGACTACTCCGCTGAAAAATTACTGTACTATTGGATTATTACTATAACATGGGATGAATATTACAACATTGATTGAATATTTCTAGAAAGATTTATGATTACTTCAATACCTGAGGATTACTGTTTTAATGATTTCATTAAGTCTGGAAGTGAATGATCACCACAAAAGTTGTTGATTACTGCAACACTTGATAATTATTGCAGCGAATCAGTATTGCATATTTCAACAATCATACCATTCTGAGTGGTTCCTTAAAAGAAATCATTCTATGTTGGTTTTTTTTTTTTTTTTTTTTTTCAGAAACCATGAGTGTTAACCCTTTGGCTCGGTACTATGAACATCGCAACCATTCAGCCTTGATTCCATAATAGATACCGAAAATCTGGGTGAAATTTGGCTTTTCTGCCTACCCCTGGGATGAACGAGAAGTAAAAGGGACAGTTATTGAGAAGAGAACCAAAGGGAAACCAAGAGAGAAGCTTAAAAATTTGGCATCATCAAGGAAAGAACAAACGTCCTGATATTTTCTGCAGGAAATGCTGGTGTGTTAGGAAATGAGCAAGAAGATAGACTTGCTAATACTGCAACACTTGGTGGTAAATTGATGTATGAAACACCTCATGTCGTAACGGTCCTTTAGGAGGGAGTAAACAGTGGGGAGACAGTGATGAGATAGATTTTGGATCCGACTGTTCCAAGTACCATCAGTACTGGATCTTTGCGCTTGCTGTTAAAGATGGAGTCCGTGCGGTAAGGAAATGCTCCCAATGCTGTGATGTCGATTGTTAATTCAACATTAGGGCTTATGTTTCGTGATAATTATCCTTAAGGGACATGAACTGCAAGAAGGATTAGAAGAAGAAGAAGAAGAAGAAGAAGAAGAAGAAGAAGAAGAAGAAGAAGAAGAAGAAGAAGAAGAAGAAGAAGAAGAAGAAGAAGAAGAAGAAGAAGAAGAAGAAGAAGAAGAAGAAGAAGAGAAGAAGAAGAAGAAGAAGAAGAAGAAGAAGAAGAAGAAGAAGAAGAAGAAGAAGAAGAAGAAAAAGAAGACGAAGAAGAAGAAGAAGAAGAAGAAGAAGAAGAAGAAGAAGAAGAAGAAGAAGAAGAAGAAGACGAAGAAGAAGAAGAAGAAGAAGAAGAAGAAGAAGAAGAAGAAGAAGAAGAAGAAGAAGAAGAAGAAGAAGAGAGAAGAAGAAAAAGAAGAAGAAGAAAAAGAAGAAAGAAGAAATAATAATAATAATAAGAAGAAGAAGGAGAAGAAGAAGAAAAAAAAAGAAGAAATAATAATAATAATAATAATATTAACAATAAGAAGAAGAAGAAGAAGAAGAAGAAGAAGAAGAAGAAAGAAGAAGAGAAGAAGAAGAAGAAGAAGAAGATAAGAAGAAGAAGAAGAAGAAGAAGAAGAAGAAGAAGAAGAAGAAGAAGAAGAAGAAGAAGAAGAAGAAGAAGAAGAAGAAGAAGAAGAAGAAGAAGAAGAAGAAGAAGAAGAAGAAGAAGAAGAAGGAGAAGAAGAAGAAGGAGAAGAAGAAGAAGAAGAAGAAGAAGAAGAAGGAGAAAAAGAAGAAAAAGAAGAAATAAAAACATTATAACAATAATAATTTTTTTTAAAAGAAAAAGAAGAAGTAGAAGAAGAAGTAGAAGAAGAAGGAGGAGAAAAAGAAGAAGAGGACGAAGAAGAAGAAGATAAGGAAGAAGAAGAACAAGAACAAGAAGAACAAGAAGAACAAGAAGTAAAACATTAGATTACCTGAACTTGTATAATCTCCGTCACCATGGCGGTGAAGAGACTTCCAATCCCCACGCAAAGAGAAAACACGTACAGGTTGGAGAACCAGTTACCAAAGATGGCGGTTCTGAACTTCCATATTCCACAAGAAACATCCACTTCTTCATCGTCGTCATCGTCATCATCATCATCCCTGTGATCTTTTCTTGACTTCCTGGAGTTGTCTGTGGCGTCACCTGGATCGTTTGGTAGCTCCTGAAAAATCGCGTGGGGTAATGATAATGGCTGTTGTTTTACCAAATATACTATATATATATATATATATATATATATATATATATATATATATATATATATATATATATATATATATATATTTGTGAAGGTATGTACCCTTTACATTGATGAAAAGTGTATATAAATATAAAGTAAAGACTGACCGAGTCGTCACCCGTACCCACAACATCTATGGCGTATCATGGCTTTCCTATTTCTGTACGTCATATCTGTCTGTTTCTTCAAAGTTGTTAAAATGTTAACAAGATCATAAATGGGACATAACTACTCAAACCCAAAAACAATATCCACTTTATATATATATATATATATATATATATATGTATACAATTAAGTGTGTGTAAGTGTGTGGGTAAGTATGTTTAGCAAAACCTTATTAATACACACTCCAAGGAACCGATATATCAAGTGTTTTAAAGATGTTTACTTACTGCGACTAATAAAGTAATTATAAAAAATACATCTACCTGAAGCAACATTTTGTTCATGCTAAGTGTGATCTAATGCGAGTTTATGTTAAAGCGTTTTTACTATGTGTGTGTGTGTATGTGTGTGTGCGTGTGTGTGTGTGTGCAAGTGTGCACGCGCGTCCCTTTGCAGATAATATTAGGAATGGTCTTAGAAATAAAAGAGACATGGACGAGATCTTACCACCCTAACTTGTTTATCACAGCCTAGAATATGTTAAAGCTGTGTGTACTGATACTAGTTCAGATACTTATATATCTGTACATTGTATATTATAACCCAACGCCCCCTTTCCTTCCCCGCTCTTACAATGAGGGCTAATCTATTCCCGTGAGAGAAATGTGTTTTAGATCTGACCGCAAACGTTCCCACCCATTTCTCCAACCGTCAAACACTTGAGATATCAACAACCTCTCATTTCAGATATGCCGTTCTCTCCAGTTGGCATAAAGAAAGACACGCTTCTCATGACAGTTCTCAGACCTGACAGATACTCATTGCAGTCGGTTGTGCACGCAGAGACACAAGTTTCCGATTCGATTCCGATTCTTTTTGGGAAAAAAAAAAAAATTGAAAGGTCGACCACTTTCAGACTGCTGCTAGCTAGCCGAGGCTGCTAACAGTCTCCGCCTATTTTTGTAATCTGGGTTTTTTGCGTCACTTTCGCGACTAAATTTCTGTAATTTTCGCCGTCTCTGGGCCGAATGCTTCCTTCCGAGTCAGATCGCTCGTCCTCCCCCTGTTGTTAGCTGTGTTTTTCTTTCTTTTCTTACTTGGTGTTTCCTCTTGGTTTCATCTCCTACTGATTTGGCCAGGCGTATTTCGTAGGAAAGCGAACTTTGGACCACCATTTATAGTTTAAAAATTTTGAGTATTCTACTTTGCCACAAAGTACTGAAAACAGTTTTTGATTTAGGATAGTTCCGGAATGTCAAAATATTCCACGTGTGACCATAGTGGTCTTATAGTTGTCTTCCTGCAATAAGAACGGGTTAGTCATGTCGTGGACATGCGTGTGAAATGTTTGGTGGAGCCTCAAAGCGGTTGATAGACAAGTTGACGTTGAAACATTATATACAGTGGACCAGAGGTTCTCAAACTGGGTGCAGCGAGCGTATCCAAGGGGTGACGCGGCAAAAATCAAATCACAAAAGACAGCATGCTGATACGTAAAAGTTACAATGAAAGTTCTTCTCTCGTCACTGTCGTAAAGAGTTAAGTATTTGAGTTACACTTAGACGTGTTTCTTACTACATATAGTGTCAATCGCAGCGAGCTAAGAATTGTCCTTGTATTTATCTTGAGGTGCGACCGATCCTCGACCTGAATTCACTAAGGCGCAGTCGATAAGGAAAGTTGTGGTTAAATTTTGAGTGAAATTTTAAGGTGGAAAATGTGGTCCCTATAATGGTAACTGTCAGCCTGATCAAGTAAGTACTTATTTTTAGGTAATGTGTTCTTTTATTTGTGTGTGTGTGTGTGTGTGTGTGTGTGTGTGTGTGATCATGAAATTTTGCGTTCCAAATCAGATTTGAAGATATTTCTAGTGAGAATATAAGGAGCGTAAAGGCAGAACGAATGAAGAATAAAAGGTGAATTTAGTTGCTTTTGTTTGGGCCATCGCATTAAAGACAACTGAACAGTAAATTTGCACTGTTTTTCTCTCTAAGTATTCAAAACACTTTGAGTTTAGGCGTGCCGACAGTGTTTTTTTTTTTTAGCCCGACAAGGGTGCCGCGGTGAAAAAAGTTTTAGAACCCCTGGAGTAGACAACAGGGACGATTATAGCTATTATCTAACATCTGCTACTATAAGGCGCGCTGCTAGAAAAAACATCTTCATATACACATCGGTGACCGAGGTGGCCATTGGCTCGCCAGTAGATGACTTCCTCTCCCGTCAGGAGTATTTGGGTTTCTCTCCTTAGATCACATCAACACAGCAGAAGTCCAATATCCAGTGCTCCTATGGCGGGCAATGCTAAACCATTTTACATGGTCACATAAACTAGTCACAATTATAACCTAAATCTACCCCTTCGGCGATGCTGGTTCAACGTGTAAATTTTACCTTCCCCCCCCCCCCCCCCCCATCAAAAAAAAAAACCTACCGACATACCGACGAAAATACTGGGTAGTGGGGGGGGGGGGGGTGGGGGGGGGGGGAAGGCTATGCAAAGTGCTCATTTTTAGCGGAAAGAATTGGGGGTGGAGGAAGGGGCTGCTCTTAGCTTCCAGAAATTAAAAAAAAAAACTTGAGGGTATGGGAGCGGGTCTTAGTAGCTACCCACCAAAGTATGCTCTCTTAACGACCTAGGCAAAAATGTAAGTATGTGTGTGTGTGTGTGTGTGTGTGTGTGTGTGTGTGTGTGAGTATGTGTGTGTATGTGTGTCTCTGTGTGTGTCTCTGTGTGTGTGTCTGTGTGTGTATGTGTGTATATGTGTGTGTGTGTATGTGTGTCTGTGTGTGTGTCTGTGTGTGTATCTCAGTGTGTGTCTGTGTGTGTCTGTGTGTGTGTCTGTGTGTGTATCTCTGTGTGTGTGTGTGTGTGTATGTGTCTATGTTGTCAGTGTGTGTCTGTGTGTGTCTGTGTTTTTTTTAAAAAGCGAGGGGGAACACCATATCACTTCATTTCTGCAATTATACTAAGAAAAAAATTATCACGCCACCTCACGACTTTACACATTTGTGAGCAAATAATTAGGTAGCGAAGGTTAGCGTCCTTTGGGACCTCTCACATGATTTGTATTAATGTGCTTAATGACGCCTATGTTACTACACTATGGTTGCCTGTTCACACACAAATCTGATCTGGAAGTCGTAACGGACACCATATCACATCTTGTTAACATTTGTTTCTTCTCTTCTTTGTTATACGTAATTTCGACACAAAATGTTTGGTTGTGTGCTTTCTTTAATACATTGTATGTACTCTGTTTTGTATACAGTCAACGATTGACGGAATGTGTTAGGTAGGAGTGGCGGTCTAAGGTCGAGGCCGCCAAAAAAGTAGGAATCAGAACTGTAGAATCATCTGAAGTTATAATATTGATAGTAGAGAAAACAAAAATTGTGGGTGATCCTAGAGACATGTCAAAGGGATATTGAACAAGACATACAAACATTAATATAACCGTTCATTAGAACAAAAACAAACCCCTGGAAATGAAAATCAGCACTTTGACACGCAGCGTCAGACTCAATGCAGTTGTGGATACTGTTTCGTTGTTAATACACTATTAGTTGTTTAGGGTATGTTGTAATGTTCCCATCGTAAATTTCATGTTTTTTGTTTGTTTGTTAAAGAGAATTACAGTGTATAAATCTGCTAACAACTTTCTTGGATTTTAACCTCAGGTGGTAGTCGTTGTAATTATTTAATCCCCATACACAATATAAAATGTGCATGTTAAAGGCTTTTTAACAACAGGTGAGTAAATTGTGATCTTCTCCATATTATGTTTTATGATTTGAGGACATTATTTTCTGCATAAGGAATCACTATGGAAGATTTTGCGTTACTATGGTGTACCACAGAAAATAGTAAGTATGATCACAACTTAGAGTTTCAATGTAAGGTAGTTTGTGATAATCATACAACAGAGAGTTTGTGTGTGTGTGTGTGTGTGTCAACGCAGGAGTCAAACAGGGATGCACACTAATACCCTTTTTGTTCTATTTGGCCATTGACTGGCTGATGAAGGAGGAAGTTACACGAGTTAGACAAAGAGGCATCAGGTGGTTACTCATCTCTGCTTTAGAGGATTTAGACTATGCAGATGACATCAACCATATATCAAGCCGTTATGAGGACGCTCAGGAAAAGATTGAAAGACCCAACAACAGCCTTTAGATAGGACTCAAAATAAACACCAGTAAAACTAAAGTAATGAGAAATAATTTCAAAACAGACAAAACAGTTATCTTAAATGATGAAGCAATAGAGGAAGTTGAAGCATTTATACACCTTGGAAGTAAAGTTACTCCAGATGGAGATTCTGAAAAAGATGTAGCATCAAGAATAAACAAAGCAAATCGAGCATTTGCCATGCGTAACAATGTATGGAAGTCAAAGGGTTTTAGTTTGAAGACAAAACTTAGAAATTATCAGGAGCAATATTTTTGGAATACTGTAATACAATAGTCAATGTTGAAAAATGACAGGGGGAATTGCACGTAAACTTGAGACATTTCAAAATAAATGTTCAAGAAGAATTCTACGAGCATTTTGGCGAAACAAAATCAGAAATGAAGAACCGAGGAGGAAAACATAATATGCATCACTGACAAATGTTATCAAAGAAAGACAATGGAGATGGCTTGGACATGTTTGCAGAATGCCATGTGAAACTCTGGCAAAAACAGCTTTCCGGTGGACAGCAGATGGAAAAAGGAGACGTGGACGACCAAGGGCAACAGGGAGAAGGAAGAAAGAACGGGAAATGAATGAATGTAAACTGACATGGGGTACCATGGGCAGAAAAGCAGCAGACCGGCAGCAATGGAGATCACTTGTGACTGCCTTATGTGTCAACAGCGACATGAAGAGAATATGGATTTATCTTTAAAAAGAAATAATTTTTAATTCTGTTTTTTTTTAAATTAAATTAAATGGGGCTACACTATGAAAAGCCGGACTTGAAAAAAGTATTGGCTCCCAGGTCGACACAGCTTTGACTGGGTACCAGGTACAGTCCTAGGAAATAAAGACAGCCGGTGTGATGCTGACTACGTCACCAACTAAGTGCCGTTTGGTCAATAAAAATATAATCTAACTCTATATGCACAATACACCTGAAAGGCTTCATTACTTTCCCTCTACACTGTGTATAACCGCGTCTATGACCTCATTGAATGACTTTGTGTCAGTTAATGATTTCATGTTGCTATTCTTTTGTACGTGAAATATTTCAGTCCCCTATATGAAATAGTCAGCTCTGTGGCTAAGCTAATGCGAACGTTTCGTAATGCCGGGGTGCCGGGTCGATCGCAGCTGCGGGCCAATCGCCTTGCTTTGGTTTCGACAGTGGTATCAAGAAACCGACAGTCCAGAAAGCAATGGCAAATTACTGGACGTAAATTTACATAGAGAAACCACACAACAGCCAAGGGCTGCTGTGGTTGGTTCTGCAACGACCTGTAAACGATACGCAACTAACCTGATATAAGAAACAGGTGAATGAACAAAACCATTTGCTGATATTTACACAGACCGCGGAAATATGTATGACGCATTTCCCGCTAAAGTGGTTGGTAGACGCTGAATCAAAAAACTAATGTAGGTAAGTTGTACCCCATCAGTACATCAAACAAGCGATAAACACCCTGTGACACAAAGTGCCACCATGCGGATGAGGATCACCCGTGGAGAGGTCCCATCTTTAGGCCATATTTCAGGCCCGGCTATATTTAGGGTACAGGTCAAAAGCCAGTGCGGAGTTTGTGTCATCGGGTGTTTATCGCTTGTGTGATGTCCCGGTGGGGTAGAAAATCAGTCAGCCAGTGCGGGGCTTCAAACGAAAAATTGCATAGGAAACACTATTACTACTACTACTACTACTACTACTACTACTACTACTACTACTACTACTACTACTACTACTACTACTACTACTACTACTACTACTACTACTACTACTACTGCTACTACTACTACTGATGCTACTACTACTATTAATTCTTCTACTACTTCTACAACTGCCCCTTCTTTGCTGCTACTTCTTCTGCTCCTGAATATACATATTATCAAATGAATATAACATGCAAATTGATAAAATATAGCTGAGGTGAACGACGGGCGTTTGCAAGGGCCGAATGTAAGACGGGTCTGCGTGCCCAATTTGTGAGACTTTGAAATTAAAGTTCGTTTCTTTCGTTCGCTAGTGCTGCCGCAACACAACTACCACAACTATAATTACACAAACAACAGCAAAAACAAAACACATCATCTTCTATTACTTCCTTTACAACTAGCGACAGTCAAATTCCTACAATATCATTTATTATTACTGTTATTGCAATCAATTGGACTCTAAATGTTGTAATCTTCACCAAATAAAGTCATGTTTCTATATCATTAAACTGCCTGTGATTAACTACGACAAACAACAGAAAAAACATTGAGAATCAAACCTCTACTGTTTCAGATCTATCAGCAGTGTCTCTGTCAGCTTTCACACTCCCATTAGGGACTTCTTTATTGTCAACTTCCATCTTTTAGCTTTTTACCTACTTGTTCTCACTGAATTATCTTGGCTACTACTCCGGGACAAGTGTCACTCCAATAATAATTCTGTAGTTTTTATACACGTTGTCAGAAAATATAAGTCCTATCTCAGCAATTACTGATGGCCCGTCAAGTACCATCAAGCGGCCATTTTGTTAATTGGAATCAGGCACTTGAAACGATGATGTAAGTAAAGTCAATGGACGATTGATTAGAATTGTTACATTATTAAAAGAAATAATACTAGTATTGTGCAATTGCAATCAAATATAGGTCATTAATGTTTGACCATGCATGACTGGTTCCAGTACACACAATAGACCAGGTTAAAAACCAATGTGTTTGCAATGACGTCATGTAGGTAGACCTAATGTGATAGTTCGTAACTTCCAGCATACACAGATTAACATTTATAATGTTCATGCATGTTTGATGCTTCTTTGCCGTGTATATAGTTAAGATAATGGACTTTTTTTTCACGCCTTTGAGGCGTATTTGGTATATAGGGCGAGATCTTTATTTAAAAAAAACAACGGCGCAAAATGGGTTATGTGGTCAACATTACGCCGGCCGCCTTTACTTCCCAGAACTGCACCTGGTACCCACTCAAGGTTGGGTCGACACGGGAACCAAGGTCATAAAAAAAATCCGCCTTCTCCAGGGAGCAATCCCACGACCTTTCGATTCGCAGGAGAGCGTTTAACCACTCCGCCAGAGGGACCTCTTTGCCGTGTCTATGTGTTGAAAAATATCAGTAAAGTGATCAGACGCATGATTCTATGGCTCCTTTTTAGGGTGGGAGGGGGAAAAGAGGGGGGAGGGAGGAGTAGATCCACTATTTCTCCTAACAAGCAAGTTGAATGCTACTAATATGGGTTTTGCTGAAATGGATTGAGTTGAGGCGAAAGGCACTGACATTCACCCTAGCTGTAAATCATCACAACACAATATACCGTTTAATGGCGAACACAAAAGAAGAACAAGAAGAGGAAACGGTAGAAGAAAATAAAGAAGAAGAAGAAAAAGGGGAGAAGAACAAGAAGAGGAAACGGAAGAATAAAATAAAGAAGAAGAAGGGGAAGAGGAAGAAGAAGAGGAGGAAGAAAAAGAAGAAGATGATGATGATGAAAGTAATGCTGGTGATGATGATCGAGAAAGAGGACGTTAGATAGTTTGACATCGTGACATTGAGAAACGCTAGTATCAGAAATAGTATCATCTGAGACAAAACGTCAGGAAGACACGAGATGGGCAACTCTGAGACAAAACGTCAGGAAGACAGGAGATAGACAACATCTGAAATATAAGGCCGGGAAGACACGAAATGGACAATATCTGAAATATAAGGATGGGAAGGCACGAGATGGACAACATCTGAAATATAAGGCTGGGAAGGCACGAGATGGACAATTGTGAGACACAAGGCCGGGAAGACACGATATGGGCAACTCTGAGACACACGGCCGGGAAGACACGAGATGGACAATTGTGAGACATACGGCCGGGAAGACACGAGATGGGCAACTCTGAAATATAAGGCCGGGAAGACACGAGATGGGCAACTCTGAAATATAAGGCCGGGAAGACACGAGATTGACAACATCTGAAATATAATGCCGGGAAGACACGAGATGGGCAACTCTGAGACATAAGGCCGGGAAGACACGAGATGGGCAGCTCTGAGACATAAAGCCGGGAAGACACGAGATAGACAACATCTGAGACATAATACCGGGAAGACACGAGATGGGCAACTCTGAGACATAAGGCCGGGAAGACACGAGATGGGCAACTCTGAGACATAACGCCGGGAAGACACGAGATGGACAACTCTGAGATATAAGGCCGGGAAGGCACGAGATAGACAATTGTGAGACATAAGTAATCAACGAAGACAAGAGATGGCATATCATTTAGACAACTGGGTACTCGAGTTACCCAATATATGCACGGTTATCTCAATTCAGGGTTACCTAAAATGTTCAGCGTTATTTAAAATACACAGATTTATCTAAAATCTATAGCTTTGTCTAAAATATATAGATTTATCTAAATCTTCCAAATTTATCTAACTAGATTATTCGATAATCTAGACGTTTTAGAATTATCAAAATTGTCGAAATGTCTTTCATTGTCGAGTTTTATTGTAACTGGTTAAATAATTAATTACCTCCATCCTTTGAATACCAGCTTCATGTTACCAAAGCCAAACTTGGATAGTGGCACAAAAAGAGAGAACTAAAATTACAACTAAAATGAGATTTATGTGATATATTTAGAAGAGAGAACATCAGAAATGATTTGATCAGAAAGAAATTGTGGATAGTAGTAGCGCTAGATTTCAATTATAAAAACAACAAGTAAAGTGATGTGTCCATGTAACTCGACTGCCAACAGACAGCATACCAGACATAGCAATAATGTACATACCAAGTGGGAATCGAGAGAGAGGCTGACTAGCGAAAGGATGGACAGAAGGGATATTAGTCTCTGCGAACTTCCAATAGACGAAGCACATCCTTCACTAGGATAAAGATGGGATAAGAGGATTTGAGCCTTTGGCTGCATTCTAACAATGTTTTATGTTGATAGTTGAATTAGGAATCGACATCGTGGCACCCCCATAAGCGTTCAGTTGCCATCTTCTGCAGCAAGCGAAGAGAACCAAAGTCCGATTGCACTAGTAGGTGTCTGATTGTAAATCTAATCTCATCTTTCCCTTGAATACTGAGCATCGGCCGGATCCCCTGGTAACTCCTTGCACCACCATTGTCCTCAGCGCGCATTGATCTATCTGTGCCTCCGCACTGTTTACTCGCTCCCAAAGGGCCCTCACGATATCTAGCTTGGCATATATCAATGCATCACCAAGAGGTGCAGAACCAGCCAGTCTACCTGCTGCTGGTTTTCCAACACATCGGCATAGCCTAGAGAAAAAAACCTAACTACCCGTGCGTTCTGAAGCAATGCTTGCCACTCTGAACGGACCATGCCTGTCTCCACCTTTCTCAAAATGTTCTGTGCATGTTCTTTATTATTATACTATTTATGTCACACAATCAGTTCAGTCATATCTTTTTAAAATAAAATAGGCCACTTAACGTTGTAGCCCCAGCAAGGTTTTACCCTGTAAACAAAGGCTGTTAATTTGTTGTTTGACATGATCATTGTATAACGTCTGAGTTGAGTTAAATTAAGAACCGCCTTTATAATCTGGGGATATCTCAATCATAGCTCCATCTTCATCGTCAACAGTGAGCGCAGTTCCAGTTCGGCTGGTACCAGTAGAAGCCTCACTGTATGTCCGTCTTGGCTTTCTTCCTCAGTGTTGAGCGATCCCCTGGTCCCTTCCGCTGCACCAGTCTTCTCAGACAGTAGTGCTTTGCATGTGCATCCATACTGTTTACTGACCCCTAACTGGCATTGACCACACCTGTCTTGTCATACATCAGTTTACAACCAAGTAGTGCAGCCAGTCTTTCTGCATGTTTGTTAACCGCAACACCTGAGTAACCTACAAAAAATATCCAAACGACGCTAACAACCCGTGAGCACTGAAGCTATGCTTGCCACTCTACACAGAGCCTACCTGTCTCTACCTTTTTCTGCATGTTTTGTGAGTGAGTTGCAGTCGCGACACACCGATAAATCTACATACCAACATATCTACATACCTTAATACCGACAAATCTACATACCAACATACCTACGTACGAACATACCTACATACCGACATACCCACATACCTACATACCAACACACCAACGTACAAACATACATACATACCAACAAATCCACATACTTACGTACCGACATACCGACACACCTACATACCAACATACCTACATACCTGCATGTCAACATACTGACATACCTATATACCGACTTACTTTCCTACCTACCTACATACCAACATAAGTACATACCAACATACCTATCACATACCGACATACCTAAATACCGACATACCTACATACTGACATACCTATATACCTACCAACCCAAATATCTACATACCTTCTGTTTCTGTTGCTGCTACCCTGCTTGCGTACACTTTAAAAGCACTGGAGAATTGGCTGATCCTGTCAGTACAAGGGTCTACAAACTCAGTCAAAATGCATTCTGAAGTTCTTATTGAACCACTGCAATCCAGTTGGTGATCAAGAGACAAACCTACGTATACATAAGCATGTCCTTTAAAACGTAATATTTAACTCAACTGGATTGATTGATTGGCACCTTTCCGTCTTTCCAGACGATAGTGTTATATTGCGCTATGGGGAGGCATGAGACTCACAGCCCATGGCGATGGCGAGTGTGACTAGCAAGACCCGTCCGTGTCAAGAAAAGTCTTCCACGATGATAGCATGGGTTTCAGGACCATTTTTGTAACATTTGTGTTTAATCCGTTTCTTTTCAGGCGCTCAACTCTCATCCTTTCTGCACTCATTTCTTCCTGGACGCAGTTTATTATTTACTCTAAAACTCCCCATACACATGACCAGATAGGGCTGCGGCCTTTGCCAAAGTTTCTTCTCTAGCTTTCCATTCCACAGGGCGGGAAAATGGGGACAGTTTTTCCATGTTTTCCTGTAATTAACATGTTACTGTCTTTTCTAAATGTTACGAAATGTTTTCTAACGTCTCATTCTGTAATCGTTTCGTTTTTTGTGAGCATTTTGTTTTCCCATAGAGAGGTGCATAAGACTCCGCATCAAATGTTCGTCAACCGGAGTTAAAACACGACACCATTGCTTCAGTACTTTCTGAACGCAACCTATACCTGACTCCATGTGGCCCTTATGCACTACCTTTTATTTTCTTCAGCATATGCTTGATATATTTGACTTCTACGTTGTTCTCATGGGATTCTCCCTTACTGCCCAGACATGATAATTTTCCGCCATCTCGATGTCTACATTTTTTTTAAAAATTCCATTTGTTCTACAAATCTTTCCAGAAACGTCTTTTTGTTTCTCTGTTTGTTATCAGAGGTTAATTTAGCGTGGCCATTTTTACGATAATATACAAACACACCTACAAAAATTTGAGGCCACCAGCTGGAAAGAGAAGACCAGTCGCAGAGATGACTGGAGAGTTATATCTGCAGCAATGAACCTCAAGGACTCGGAATATTGAATCAGAAGAAAA